GGAGTCATCGTCACGTCTGTGAAGATTCAAAAGACACGAAAATTGATTGCGTTTTAAAAAATTTATACAACGTTTTGTTGGAAACCCAGCTACATTTAACAAAAAAGTTTTCAATGATTGGACAAGTTTGAGCAAAGCTATGAACAAAAGTATAGAGTGACACTCACTAACGTTCGCCACTGTAGATTGGAAACTTTGCATTTACAGAACTTTTTCAAAATTCCTAGTTTTTCAGTTATTTGCTGATTTCTGAAGGGCACCCTTTTTCATGTTTTTGCACTGTAAACGGTAAAAAAGCAGATGTTCTTTAGAAATCGGCAAATAACTGAAAGATAGGAATTTTCTAAAAATTCTGTTAATGCATTTTAATCTAGTTTTGTGTTACACCCTCTGAAATTTACAAGGTGGTTGGAAACTTAATAGCCGAGCAACAGACTCCGAAAAATGGGCCAAAATCTGATGAAAAATACGTTTTGATACCTTATTCTTGCCGATAATGTAGGTAGGTAACTCTGTTTTTTGTAATTCATACTTTTCCATGGAATCCAATGAAGTTCGAAATTATGAAAATCTTTAAGACTTTTTGTGTCTCTCTAAGACTTTTTGTGTCTCTAATCGTGTAGATTTTCAAGTTTTGATCCAATGACTTCGTACGAGTTCCTCATTCCAACCATCCGATACCCCTTCGTACCTCCACCCTCACGAGTTCCAGCCCTACCCATTCGTCGAAAAGAGGGAAATTTGATACGATCAGAAAAACAAGTAAACTAGAAAAAAGTGTGTATCCTGTGTTCGTTTTTTTTTTCATTTTGCCATCATTTCGTACTGTGATGCATGCCTCTTTTCTCCCCCGGAAATTCAAACAAACCGCCTCTTCTTTCTCACCAGTTTGTGTAACTACCATCATCTGACACATACTGAGAAAGAAAAACGAAAAAAAGAGAGAAATAGATTCATCTCACAAAAGGTCTAGTTTTCATACAGTTCAAGTTGCTGTCACTTTTCATCTCATCTGAAATACCCATTCGACCTCCCCTTGTCAAGAACACTTTTTTTCTATTTTTGTATATTTTCCCAATTCGTTCCGCCAATGATAAATTCCATGTATTTCCGTTGTTTCTCTATTCCCCTTCCATCCGGTTTTCTGTGTGTTCGGTTGGGAATTTCATTAATATATACATTACTTCCTGTCACTGTTCACATTGTTTCCCTTTTTCTTATTTTTCAGTCTTGTTTTGTTTTGGTATCTTGAAGATGACCAGGTTTGGAGTATCTATGTTAATCTCTGCCACGTCACAAGCTGACGATGCCTTTTGTGATGCTTGTGTATTCAAAATCGAGCAGAGTTCAAACATATTTTTCATCCTCTTCCATTGATGGAATTCGTGACGTAGACAGTTATACCGGTAAATTCAAAACACGTGAAATCGGTCAATGAGTGGGAAGACTAGCATAGATCACAGGTTGCTGACGTAAATAATGTCGACAATAATCCGAATTTAGTGCCCAAATCTAAATAGGGGGTAGTGAGATTTATAAGTGAACATCTTGTCCTGACGGGTTTTCGCCGGCTCTGCCATAGTTTCTTTTAAACCCAATATTTTTGGACCAACTAATATATATATGACCAGCAAGCTGGTGCGCCTTCGGCGCGATTCAATTTAATTTTTTACTGGTTCGTGGCTCCGCTACTCAATTTTTCTTAAAGGATCACGTAAATTTATATTTAATTTTCAAGCTTTTCAAAAGTTGACAGACTGACACGAGGACGGACCTCTAGCGTTTTATAAATAAGAAAGATAGAATTCGACAAGTACTAGAAAATGATATTATTTGAAAAAAAAAATCTATATCTTTTCCAAAAACGTTATAAGCCATGAAGTAGCTGATCCAAGCCGGCCGAGTCCTGCCTGTTTTTCTGTAACATTTTTCGTAGACGAAAAAATGAATAATACCATTTTGTAGTACATGTTGAGATCTCTCATATCTAATTCAGCTGGTCCAGAATTATTGATTCTAGAAGAAAAATGACAGGCCCCGCGAAGGCCCGCCAGAACATCGTCTCAATCAATAGTGCACATTATGGTCCCCGGTGTTTACACCATGTGTGCCTGGCTGTCAGCAATTTGAATTCCAGGAGACGTAATTCAAACGTTCTCAAGTAATTCTGTTTCTTTGCAAGGTTCGAACAGCTCGAAAATGAGCGATTGGCGAACTAGAGAAAGTGTTTGAATTTTTCCGTAAATGTCAGCTCTATCTAATCTTATCCCCTAGTGTTGCAATTAAAAAAAAACTTCGCAACTATTTAAAATTCTTTTCATATCATCAAACTACATCAATTTCTAAATTCATCGAATTCGAAATCACTATCACCTGATTTAGTAAACTTTGCAAGATGAACAACTAGACTCTCATCTTTCTTGGTATCAAGTATCAAAATCCAACATCCAGATCACGTGATATTCAGACCGTTCTTTCTCCCCATCAGCTTCTCTGTGCTTGTCGAAATGTGATGGTCACTACTCATTTCCGTCGAAAGTGTCGTTTCACATCTTGTCGTCGTCTTCAACGCCTTCAACATCGCCTACTACCATTCGTCTATTTTTAGTCCTCTCTCTTCTTTGTCTTCTTTTTCTCCATTTGAGACAACACCGATTGATCATATTCACCCAACACAAAGCGGCGCAGTGTTCAGAACAACTGCGCGGAAGGCCATTGCAAAAGCCCTTTTTCGAAACCTTCCCCCAACCCAAATCAAACAACGATTTCTTTTCAAAAAATTGAGTGTCCTTTCTCCTCCTCTTTTCCTTACGTTTTCTCACTCCGCCTACCAAGTCATGTTCTACTGATAACATACGATTCTTTGATATGGTTTCTCTTTCCCTCCTTTCCATCCATCTAGTCTCATTCGTTTTCCCCGTTGGACTCTCAACTTTCCTCTTTCTTATCACTGGGTCAGTCACCTCACTTTTTTCCGGAATACCGAGTCAATTCCTCCGAAATTCTGCAACATTGCACGAACTGTTTCGAGTCCAAAGGCCTATCTTTTTGAACTGAAAAATTCCCTAATACCCGTGACACATTAAAAACGCCCACTTCCGGTCCGAATATCTTGTTTTTTGTCGTTCTGTTTTTTTTTGTGTTCTGACTGAAATTACAGATAATTAGCCCACAGGAGCACTTCTTGTTTTCTAGCCGAGCTAGACTGGTCACACCAGTGACAACCACAAATCTAGATTCAGAAAACTACAAAAATGTGTTCTCTGTCTTTTTCGGACATCTTTAAAAAAAGACCCAAGGGTTTGAACTTTTTGAACAATGAGAACGAGAAGAATAGACGCATCTTTAAAAATAACGACCTGTCTGATCACTGATATCATATTCTATTTTTAGAAGTTGTAAACCTATATAAATAGAATAGGGCATCGTCTTTCTCATATCTTTTAATATGAGTTTAAAAGCAAAATTTCCGTTAGTCAGTAGTTTTAGTCAAAATCTAGTCGTAACCCTTTTCCTGATCTCATAAACTTTTTTCCTCGTTACTCGTTTCTCTTATCCGCCCTTTCGAACAATTAGTTGTGTAAAGAGCTAATTTACGATTCTCGGAAGTCACCATCCCCCTCTTTATTCTTTTCGAAACTTCTTCTTCTTCTCCCCTTGTGTCCTCTCATCTTCTTATTCAGTCATTCATCGCATCCCATTCAAACATCCATTTTGCTCTTTTCCCTTTTTCTCACTCTTGACTCCGCCCATTTCTATCGGCTCTCACGCATGCCTCGACACCCTCACCCCCCTTCGCCGTCGTCGTCTAACCAACAATATATCGGTTTCCAGATTGGCAGAATGCTCAATGAGCAAATTGTTCGACTCCTTTCGCTGATGCACATTCATCCGCCGTCGGCGAATAACGCCACAGCCAGTAACAGTGTACTCAAGAAGCTGAAGTTCGGAAAGAAGAAGAGCACTCCGAAGTTCGGAAACCTTCCAGAATCAGTATGGTAAGTCTTGTTTTCCTCTTTCCAAGATTTACCGTAGTTGCGTCATTTCCTTTGTAACCTATTTTCCTTATTTTAGGGATAACATCCTGGATAACCTGTCTCCATTTGAACGGGTTAAAATGCGACGCGTCAACCAGAAGCTCAAAAATGTCGTTGACAAACGTAGAAAACGAGTGCTCTACGCCGACTTCCTCCGCACTGACGTTGACACTATCCTTCCGGCGGAAAGCTCCGGTGATGGAGAGTTCTTCCGTCTTCCGAAAAGTTCTCGTATCGTTGTACACGAAGAGGCACGTAGCGTTCTCATTATTGTGGATACCCATTGGACCATCAGTGACGCCGTTAAGATGATGGCTGCTATCCGTTACTACGGTATTAATGCACACACTGTCACGGTAAGATTAGAGTGAACTGAACACATCTAATTTATTTATATTTTCAGCTGGACGCTTCCCTTGCTGAGCTCTGTGTTGCTGCTCAGTCAACTAACGATATCGCTTTCTGGTTTGCATTCCAGTCAGCCAGTGGAACTTCAGATCCAGTTTGTCAATCGTCAAAGTCTCCAAGTTGGGTTCCTGATGATTTTCGTGTGAGAAGTGTGCAATCATATGAACAAGACCAGTTGTCTGCATACTCTCAATGGGCTCCAAGGACTCAAATCATTCCAGTTGGACCACTTTTCCCAAAGGCAACAGAGGTACTACAATTTCAGAGGTGTTTTGATTTCTAACTTTCTTCATTTTTCAGGTTACAATCCGTGCGTCAGTTCCACAACTTCGTCGTCTCCGCCGTTTCCCAATCTACCGTAGTCCTCTCCATCGGTCGTTTGTTGAATTCAACAATCTTCATATACTTCGTCTTGTTGTCTCTACTAACACATCTTCTGGACGTCGTGGCCGTCAAGTAGCACAATCTCTCAAATTGGCCCCTTTCTTGAAATGGGCAAATGCACAAAGACTCGCTCACCGTTTTTCTGTACAGTTTGTATAATCGAATCATGTTATTCGTTTTCTTTCTCAATCCGTTTTTTTTTGTTTTCATTCTACGGGTTCTGTTCAAAATGACAACTTTCTCTGAAATGCAATTTCCTTGTTCACCTCTCCCTCACAATAAAACAAAACAATAATTTTTCAGAGCGGGTTTACTTTCTGATTGTGTCTGTAACTGATTGTGTTCGTTTTGTGTGATTATAAATGTAGCTTCAGTATTGACTTGAATAAAATATGAAATCGCAAAATGTATTGTTCAGCACATTGTAGACAAGAAAATCAGCACAAAGAAGAAACGGGTCGTAAACATGAAAAACGAGTCATCAGAATTAAAGAGGATTATGATGTCATTGATTTGGAATTAAAAAGAACCAAAATGATTGGAATTTTAATATTTCTACGAAGAACTCAATGATGAGCCTTGCGGCCGAAATTTTATTTTAAGGCGCATCGTCAGTCTGACAGCGAATACATTCACGCGTTTTTCAAGTGAGAAATGCATGCGCCTTCGATACCGTATCTTGAAATTATTTAATTTTTGTTTATTTCCGTCAGATTTGTTGTCAATTGAAATCCAGCCAAAAATGGGTCAAAGTAAATTAGTTTCAAAATATTGAAGCATCTAGTCAAAAAAGCTGTCTTAGCTGCTGGACCGACGATGCGCCGTTAAATAAATTATTGCACACAGGATTCATCGCTGAATTGAATCTGTAACACCTGATTGGCTTGCGTTTTATAAGTCAACCCCAAAAAATACAGTACTGTATTTTAACTCCAGAAAAAATGTCAAAAACAAATGTTTCTTATCTTTAAGTCGGAAAAAATTTCCATGAAAAATAGGAGTTTGCCGTAACTTTTTGGAATCAATAGCAAATGTTTTGGAGATAACGCTAGAGAGTAGATCATTGTAAACAATTCAGGAATGAATCAAATCTAAATGGAAAAATGATGTCATTGATTTGAAATTCTTGATCACTTATTTGAAAAATGGAACTGACTCATTCTAGTGTCTGAACGATTTTAGTGACGTTTCTCTCGTGTGAACATTTTTCAAAACAAATGTGATAAGAACTGAAAACATTCCAATTTTCAAAATTATATTTTCGGCAAGTCTTCTTGATAACATAGAGAAAATTAATTGTGACCGGATTTCAGGGTTCAATAATTCTGGTTAAAAGTTATAGTTGAATAACATTGAATAGTATCGACAATGTTTCCAAGTTTTCTGAAATGTTCGATAATTTATTGTGCATACAGGTTAAAGTTCCAATATATAGAAATTTTGTTTAAAAATATTTGGCTCCATCTGATTTCAGCGGTCACTAAAGAAAAAAAAACGGTCCGCCGTGAAAATGATGGTCCGCAGGGAAAATAAAGAGTTGAAGCTCAAAAAGCCCGGAATTTTTCAAGCGGCACGCACCTAGTCACTCTTTCGGGCACACTACTTTCGGGTGGTAATTTTTATAGTCGAAGACAACAAGATCAATCGAAACTGCAGAATTCTATTCAAGAATATAAACTCTGTCTGTCAGTTCGAAACAATTTTAAATAGAGCATCACATTCCGATTCGTTTATGATCTTTGGTGGAAGCACTGGAAACTGCGAAAAAACACTTATTTTCCTCGATTTCCGAACCAAAATCTAATGTCGAACCAGTCGAAGTGATCAAAATGCTGCCTGAACCGGAATCCTACTCGAAAAATTAATATAGGGTGTTCCGACAAGATCCAGTTACGGTTTACAGGGCGAAAGACCCCCAAAGGTGGTTCCAGCTCAATTTACCGGAGTTGAACTAGGCACAAGAATCGATCGCTTTCTCCTCAGACTTGAATGCAAAAAATTATTCAGTTTTAGGATATTGAAGCCAGACAGTTTCCTCGTGAAATTAACAAATTTTCACATAACTGGAGACCACTCTTCAAAAGATATGGGCACACATAGGCGAAAACTACCTGCGTGCAGTCGTTGCCCCCTTTCCGAAGCCTCTGAAGGCTGTCATCAGAGCGAAAGGAAGTGGATTCAAAAACTTTCTATTATGAAATTTTTGCGTCTGAAATTACGTATTCCAAAATTTCAAAGTATTTCTTCAAGTATTGGCCGAGTTATGGTAGTCTAAATTGGTGTCAATAACTAAATTGGTGTCAATTAATGTGCACCCTGTAAAGGTATTATTAGAATTTGAAAAGACATGTTAAATTCTTCTCGTATATTCTTAACTTTTCTTTTCGGACTGGTATTTTTTGTTCGGACCGCTATACTCTTCCCGTTATTTTCCCTGCGGACCATCATTTTCACTGCGGACCGTTATTTTCTCTAGGGACCGCTGAAATCAGATAGAGCCAAATATTTAGACTGGATTTCGTGGAGTCTCTGGTACAGATGGAACTTCTAAAAGTTCTGGAACAACTCCTCCGTTTCCTCCTCGGAGCGTCTTGGCAACTTGAGAAGCAATGTAGAAGACAGTGTCGATTTCCTGAAAAATTATACATTGCGGTCAATATCTTTAGGAACCCCCTCTATTTTGGGGGTTCCGGAAGAACGGGAAGAGATATCCAAATTCTGTAAACGCCATTCGATTCAGAATGTAAAATAACCCCCGGGGACAAATTTTCATGATTCTAGTACTTTCCGTACAAGAGTTCAAATTATCAATTTTCCTAATTTTTCCCGATTTTTGGGTATTTTTGTAAAACTGACCAAAGTTAGCAAAAAAATTGAATTATTCGAAGAGCACGGTAATAGAACATACAGGATTTGATGTTGAGAAGTGAATTTAGGTACTAGGAGATCGTTCGGGATCTTAATTGGGTACAGACACTGTGATAATCCTGCCATCCTCGAGATTTATCAACTGTGTGAAATTGGTGCAGCGGTTAATTGAAAGAAAGGTGTCGTAACGGTCTAGAACAAACTTGAATTGCTTTTACTTAACGAGAAGTGATCAGGCAAAGCTTTTCCAACATTGTCTGAACTTATTTTATTCGGGATATCCCTTTGGAAAAACATTAGTCTATTAGTGGTAGTAAATCTTGTGGGTGGCAGGATTATCACAGTTTCTGTACCCAACTAAGACCCCGACTGATCTCCTAGTACCTAAATTCACTTCTCAACATCATATCCTGTATATTCTATTACCGTTCTCATCGAATAATTCAATTTTTTTGCTAACTTTGGTCAGTTTTACAAAAATACCCAAAAATCGGGAAAAATTAGGAAAATTTATAATTTGAAAAAATAGACAAAATATGAAAATTCTTTGAGATACTCACGAAAATGTACCAAAAAAGCACGAAACTAAAAATTATTTTCAGTTTTAAAGCGAAAATTCGACAAAAAATGACCAAGATTTCGAAATTTCCGGGGGTCCTAAAGATATTGACCGGCCAAAAATAGGTCTTTTTGGTGGTGCTCTTATACGGAAAGTGCTAGAATCATGAAAATTTGTCCCCTGGGGTTATTTCACATCCTGAATCGAATGGCGTTTACAGAATTCGGATATCTCTTCCCGTTCTTCCGGAATCCGCAAAATAGAGGGGGTCCTGAAGATATTGACTGCACTGTATAGTTTTCAATGTAGACAAGCAAGTATACTTACAACTGGGAACTGCTGCTTTAGAGCATCAATAGCTTGAGTCTGTTGCGGAAGTGTGTGATCCTTATTGTTTATAATGGCAGACAATTGATCGAATACTGATGGAAGGTTGCTGAGAATACTGCTGATTGCAGCCAAAAGTTTAGAGACTAGTTGTGTAACTAGAGCGAGGAGTTGCAGAATTTGGTCTTGTCACAAAATAGATCAGGTTCCTCCAGGAAGATTTCCAAGGATGTCAGTCACAAATGATGGAATTTCAGTGATATTTCCCAGAATCGGCAATCCCAATCCACCTGGATTTTCACCAAGAACACCCAAAAGGTTTTGGAGAACATCTTGATTTCCTCCAAGAAGACTTCCAACGGTTCCACCTATTGCTCCTCCGTTTCCTCCTCCAACAACAGTGGTTTGCAGGTTCTTACGTCCAACCATGTTTAAGGCCATAACTTGAGAGCTGTTAGAGGTATCAGCCTAATTTTCGAAAATCTGATTCGAGACAACAAATTACATCTAGTGGACAATTTTTGTAATGAAACCTTGAGAACTACCCGAGTTATCTGGAAAGTCTGAAAATATGCCTTCTGCAACCGTTGCAAGTTTATACGTCCACTCCAAAGATCAGTAGATCACGACCTCCAGCGAAGACGGAGGTGTCCAATTTTGATTCTTCCTCCTTGGAAAAGGGTTTGAAAAAGAGAAAAATAAAATGGAAGATGTGAAAAAAGGATTTATTGAAAAATTTCAAATATAGATATTCCTGAACATATCAACAAAAATTATGAAAAATGACAAGTTTCAAAAGTGTACTGATTATGCCGCGTTCAAAGTAGACTCCAGGAACTGGAAATTGCGTCCAAAGCTGCCAATTTTTCCAGTTTTTCCAGGAGCACGAAACTTCGATTTTCCGCATTGTAGCTGTGTTAATTTTTCGAGGTCCGCTGTAAATTAACAAGAAACTTTCTTTTTTTGGACCTCGAATTGATGTCGAAAAAAAAACACAGNTACAANGAGGGAAATNGAAGTTTTAAGTCCATGGAAAACATGGAAAAATTGCCAGCTTTGGACGNGATTTCCAGTTCNTGGAGGNTANTNNGAACGCGGCATAAGCCCAGACTTTTGTCTGTTGATCCCTTTCGCCACGTAGAGGCTCAGTACATGAAAGGGAAAATGGGTTTTCACTGGGGGAAAACACCAACACAAAACCCCCGTCTCCTAGGAGACAGTTTTCTAATTTTCAATAGTTCTTTTTCACTGGTAAAAGGCTATAAGATCGCTATTTATTGTTTTTGTTCATTTCGTTTCTTTTTTCTTTGATTGGGTCTTTTGCAAAATGGGGACGTTCAGTGAAAATGAATTCACCTAGCCGTGAACCACCAAACATGGGACCCTTAGGGTCTTTTATAACTTTTTTTGCATCCGATCAATCGAAAGAAAAAAGCAAATGAAACAATAAACAGTTTACGCAGGGAGCTTCATGGCAGTCAAAAAGTGCTAGTGAAAATTATCAAACTAATTCAAAAAGTGGGAAAAGGAATGTTTTTCAATACGTGGAATTTTTTCAACGTGGACAAAGGTAGAGGGCGTAGCCTAATATTGATTGAGTTAAAGGTCTATTGCGTAACGTGTGAAAAGTTTTAAAAACTCGAAAATTGAATGTAGATTTACGTAACCCATTAAAAAATGACAAACTAAGGACGAATGAGCAAGAACTAGGTTGAATCGCGCCGAAGGCGCACCCCATGTTGTTTTATTCATTGGGCGCGTTCTGGAACCCAGGTGCTGGGGCCCGGTTCTGGAGCCCGGGATCTGGAGCCGGGGTGCTGGGACCCAGGTTCTGGGGCCCGGGTTCTGGGGCCCGGGTTCTGGAGCCCGTGTTCTGGGACCGGGTTCAGAAGTTCGGGTTCTAGGGCTGGGTTCTGAACCCCGGGCTCTAGAGCCCGGGTTCTGGTGCCCGGGTTCTGGACCCTGGGTTCTAGAGCCCGGGTTCTGGGGCCCAGGTTCTGGGGCCCGGGTTCTGGAGACTGAAGATTGAACTTTTCCCTTTCTTTCTTGCAAAAAAATGATTTTAATTAAACCCCCATTCTCCTTTTTCATTTCCCCAAAAAGTACATCTGCCCGTTTATTTCAGTCTTATTGCTAATTTTACTCATCTCAGAGGGATCCAAATTGTTTTTTCCATCTTCTTTTCTCACCATCACATGACCAGATTTTCCGTTTCCATCAACGAATTCTGGAGAAGAGTCCAAAAGAAAAAGAATGAGAGAGAAGCAAGTTCGTCCTTTCAGATGGTTCGAATTTCGTCGTTTCGAAACTCGATACGCTGATGTGCGCAATGATGGTCGAAGAAATTGTTCGAAACCAGTTTTTTGAACAGAATCCAAGCAAATGTCCATACAAAGAGAATTATGGCGTCATTCTAGTTTAATTAAGAGAAATTATAAAAAAACATTTATATACAAGTAGGCAAATAAAAAAAGAACAGGAGATCATCAAATATGAAAGAACCCGAATGTAACCAAATAGGAATTGATACTGTTCAAGCATAATGTTAAAAATGAAATTATGACAAATAATGTGGGGTGTTGATTGATAAATAGATGATTACTGATGGAAAGTTTCAGGCGGGGGAATTGACTCGACAGTTCAAATGAGAAGTGATCGTGGAATCTCGATGATTCATTTTCATCACAATACTCGAAGTTCTTGGAGAAGATCGTCCTTCATAGTCATAGTAGATTGCAGAAAGAGAAAAATTCTTCTGGCAAGTGCTGATCACTCCCTTTCGGATGACGCTGCTGAAATAGACAAGTTATTGATCTCAAATTTCAAAATATTATTCACCTGAAGAACAAGTAGAGCAGAGGATTGACGAATGAATTGGTTGCAAACACGACCATCACTGCCCAGTTCATCCATTTTCCGTGTTTAGAGCATTGAGTGATGAAGACTTGTCCAATTACAAACAGCACGGTGTTGATGATACACGGAACCAGAAGACGGGTTTCAATGCTCAACTGTTTTTGTTGAAAAACATAAGAAGATGTGGCTATTGGTGCGTGGGAGTACTTCGATCGAAGTTCTGAAAAGCATCAGAGCTCAAAAATAGAGAGGAAATGAATGAAAAAACTTACGAAGATTTCTCGAGGTGTTTCTTTGGAAGAGGACAGCCAGAGCAAGAACATAGAGAGGGAATGGGACAACCATAAGAACAACATTGCACAACATGTAATAGGTATCGGTTCCAGAGAGCTGGTACTGCTCCCAATCGGAATGCATTCCATAACGGGATGGAGAATAATAGAGAGGAGTGAACCAGGCGAACTGAAACACAAAAAATAGAATGCTCATATTGTAGTTCAGTCAGAAAACAGCTTTATGATTTTGTACATTGCGTCATTGATCGATGCATTCTATTCACTAACCTGATGCTCAACTAAACTTTGCAATAATCCGGCGAACCATGGAAGAGCACAAATCAAGATACTCGTTCCATAAGGAAGAGTACGGAACCAATTGGGCCATTGAACAGCAGCAAGACGGGACCAGGCGATGACAGTGTAGTGGTAGACCATTGCCCACCAAGTGAAATTGAGATAGATGTGGATGTTATGTCTCCAGGCTTCATTAATTATCTCGTTTTGAGTCAGAATAACGATTCCAGGCCAGATTCCGAACTGAATCATGAGAAGAATGTCGGTGAGGGCTTGTGAGATCAGAAAACGGAATCCGACAATGTCACGGATCATTTTCCACATCGCACTGATGATGAGACCGTACAGAGTACATCCGACTATTCCCAGAATGAGAAGAAACATTCCAGCGGCAGCATCCGAAACGTCCATTCTGAGAAACGAGGATGGTCTTCGGAGGAAGAGCAGAACACAAGGAAGATAATTCAGAAGGGTATGACAGGGGAAGTTGAAAACGGTCGAGAGTTCTTTGAATTCGAAAAGTAATTTGTTTTGGGTTTGTTCAGAACGAAGATCTCTGGAAATTTAAACGAGTAGTGAGAGGGGGGAAGCAGGCGCGGTTAAGTGAGAATGTGATAAATTTTCAGAATTATTGCGGCAGCAATTCACACAGAAAATCATAGGAATACGGTCCAATGAGCTTGTATTAGCCCAGTCATGTGAAACAGGTCATGATCTTACAAAGAACATCAACATCTCACGTTTTGCAGTATCACAACTAAACTGGAGTTAAGAATTAGTGGAATTTAATGAAAAAGAGTTCAACAAAAAGCCTTTGGTGTAATACAAAGAAAAGAACGAGATGGATGAAGATGGAAAAAAGAAGGGCGCACGTTTCGAAACCAAAAATGAAATCGCAAAAGTAAACAGAAGAAACAACTGGGAATAGAAGTGGGTGGGGACTGCTGGGAGTGTATGGAATGATGATGATGATGGAAAATGAAAATGAGAATATGAAAAATGGCTATGGAGTAGGCGAAGTACGTCTTCTTCTTTTTCTTTATTCATCAGGACGCTATGGTAGGAAGGAAGGAAAAAAACTTTTGTGTACATTAGGATTATTAGAGTTCGAAGAGATATAGCATATTCCATCAGAATATAGACTGGTCTTGTTTGATGCGGAAAAAAAAGAAAACGAAATGCCATATGGATTTGGTGTCTCTATTGTTGGTTTAAAATTGGAAACATGTCAAAGATTCAAAGATTCAACTCCGATTCAAAGGACTTCAAAGGGAAGAGATGTTGTATAAATAATAAATAATATGCCGCCTTCAAAGTAGCCTCCAGGAACTGGAAATCGCGTCCAAAGCTGTCAATTTTTCCAGGTTTTCCATGGACTTAAAACTTCGATTTCCCTCGTTGTAGCTGTGTTTTTTTTTCGACATCAATTCGAGGTCCAAAAAAAGAAAGTTTCTTGTTAATTTACAGCGGACCTCGAAAAATTAACACAGCTACAACGCGGAAAATCGATGTTTCGTGCTCCTGGAAAACCTGGAAATATTGGCAGCTTTGGACGCAATTTCCAGTTCCTGGAGTCTACTTTGAACGCGGCAATAAACAAGAGAAGAAGAATCCTTCGATGGTGGTGGCTAGTGGTCAGTGAGCCCATATTGTGAGCTCCTGAAGGTGTGGCTCCACAGGAAAAAGCAAACGGAAGTGTGGGAGAGCAGAACTTTCGGACACGGCAGGAAGAGAATGTGTCAATAGGAGGAAATTGAGCCACAGCTTGACAGACCCGAAATGCTGATCTGAGTCGGATACGTGGTGGCAACTTCTCGGCTGTGAGGTTGTAACTGTTGATCAAACGTTTAGAGGGTTTGGCTGCTGGACGGACCGTAGACACTCTAATAGAATGTAAACCGTCAATCTTGAGCTTCCATATCTCATTTTCTGTAAAAGATATCGAAAAGTAGTCAACTAACAAAACATTTATCATAATATCAGCAACACTTTATCCGTTTACTTTTTGATATATTTTACAAGAAATGAGAGACAAAATTTATTGGTTTTGGTAGCGTTACATTGGAGTGTTTACGGGATATTAACCGGGTTTTACCAGAAAGGATGTATATCGGACCACGGTCTGATTTTGGTTGCAAGTTGAAAGTAGAAATACTACAAGGTCGGAACTTTGCCGTAAGTTTGCTGGGTTTTGGTCTGCTTTAGTAGCGGTATCATCCAGAATCCGGCCAACCTTCAACCAGAAGTTGCCCGAGATTGATATGAGGTTTGCTTAAGAAAAATTGTTATCCAGAATCAAAACTGCATGTTGTACCTTAAAAGACGGGTAGAACCGGGATAAAACTCTTAAATTCGGAATACCAAAACTCAGAAACCAGGGTTAAATCTTCTTTAATATTGCTTTGTGAGTTCTGATCCATGTATAATCGGATAATCTTGCAAAACAGACTTATTGAAAGGAAAAGTACAAAACGAAGAAGTACTGACTCGATTCTTGATCATGTACCTTCATTTGACCTATCGCCGATGTTAATGAATTCTAAAATGTGTTATTACCTCTGACTCATGAACTTTTTTGCAGCGTCAGAAGCCCTTTTCATTGTTTATAATCTAAAGTATCCAGTTGCACATTTTGAAAAAAGTTTGAATTATTTTTGGTCCGTCATTCAGATTCTATTACTTAATATTTATTTCCTATTTCCTATCTAAAAGTTTTCCAATATGTTTGAACAGAAAGTTTATGGACCCTCGGGTATAGCAAAACCACTCATGTGAGCTCCTAGAACGAATTCTGCATACTTTTTATTATTTTGCAAAAAAAAAACGAACCAGCCCCCAAGGAGAAAAAACCTCGAGATGAAAACAAGAGCGTTGCAAAACGAGATTAAGTTTGAATGGACTGAAGATTGGAAATGAGTAGCGAGATGCGGTAATTAGTTAAATAAGGCTAAAAGAGGCGGGTAGCAAAATAGGAAAATGTGGGTGGATGATCATAGGATTTCAAGTGCTTGAAGCGGAGTCTAGTCATAAGCTAAAATGATTCTGATAATTGGTAAATCATGCGAGAATGACATAGATAACCTAATGAAGCAATAAAAAATGTGGGAGTAGTTCAAGAAACAAAATTGAAGCAGATGTTGCAGGAGAAAAGAGAAAGAAGGGTACCAGAAGTCAGCAATTTCTGATTTTTGGCGGTGGTAGGATTGGAAAGAAAAGGGTTCAGTGATTTATTGTCTGGGGTTTAGTCTATTTCAAATACTCTGGCCCCATTTATTCAGTTATTTTAGTGATGGGTGCCAGTTATTTTAGTGATGGGACCGAGGACTGAACAATTTTTAAATGTCAGTTTGGGCGTCAAACACCTAGAACTACCTTGCTTAAATAGGTATTAGTAACATCTAATAAGTAAAGTGATCCATTTTCCTTCTCAAACATCTTCCTAGGCATAATCCTTGATCCTACGGTATAAGAAGGATTGCTTCGAATCTGTTTACAAATTTTTAGGAGATTTTTGAAACAGATTTTTGGAACTTTAAGGAAATAATGTTTTTTCTCTGCAAAACGAGTTAAACAAGATGTTTGTTTCTTTTTGCTCAAAAAAAGTTTCGTAAGGAAGTTGAAGGTCCCGAAACTATAGTCTAGGGAGGGTGAGATGGAACTAAATAAACTTGATGAAAATTTGGACATTGAAGAATCTTCGGAAAAAAAAACTCCGAAAAAAGTGGACCGATATATAGGAGTAATTGCATTCTAGCGCATGAAAGGGTAACGGACTTGACATTCAGCACAACAACAGGAGCGAAGTAACAAAGTTTGTTGATTTGTGCTGCAAAGATCAATTCACCTCATTATGCTTATTGTAGTCTATTAACTAATCCTTGGTTTTTTTGAAAGATAATAGCTCAGAGTTTAGAAGTTCAAATCGGAATAAATCACGAAGGATTCCCCCGAAAAAATGAGCTCAGGAAGATGCCAATTTCTCATTTTTCCTCTGCATCCTACCCCAGTGATTTCCCGCCCTTTAAGCTCCGCCCATTTTTGAGAGGCTACTGCAATCAATGTTTGCATTTGGAGCTCCCTGCCTTTTTTCCAAGAACAATCAAGCAGGAAACGAGCAACATTATTCGAAATACGATACTACGTAGCCCTTCCTTCTTGGATGTGACATCTGATGACCATCGGAATGGGGAGCTTGTGAATCACGCACAAATAGAAATATGCCGTAGGTCCGACGAAATGAGAAACGATGGCGCCTCGCTCGCTTCGGTTTTCTTTTTTTGAGTGAGAAAACGAATCAGATGAGCATTGGGTGAAAAGGAGAGGGGAAAAGAAAGTGTCGGGTCGTTCCTGGCACCATTGGGTCCCAAAGAATACGAGGAAAGAAGAAAAAAGGAAGAGAAGCTATTGTTGACGAGGTTTCACATTAAACGTCTGATTTTGTTTTTTATTGAATGAATTCTGATTCATTAAGAGTTGAGGATCTGTTCAGTATACCATGGGAATTGAAATTCAAGCTCGATTTTTTCATAAACCAAAATTTGGCAATGAAAAACAATTATTCACAAACGCACCGATGTTTGGAAAATCAGAAAATGAGATGTACACCTCTTCACTACATATCTCATTTTTCACACGCAAATAAGACACACGACGAACACAAAAATCCGTCGATGAATCAGATGGTACTACAATATGAACACTGCTATAAAAACTACGAATGTAATCTCCCTGTTCCATTAATCATACTATACCGTCATCAGGAATGTTCATAAACTATCCTCACTATCTAATCCCGAAACTGTGTGGAGCTCTATCCTTTCTATTCAACCCAATTTTTATATATTTACTGACGAGTGACAGGAAACTGCACCTTGGAAGTTATCGGCATTTGTTAATCAGTTTTTCAATTTTCAACATGCTTTGCTCACTTTACGATGGATTGGTTCCAATGGTAATTTTGAATCGAAAGCTCTCGTGCGTCGCCGCTAACTTCTGATCGGAGGTTGGTCGGAATCCGGATAAGACCGACACTAAGCCAACCAAACTCCTCCAATCTTTTGACAAGGTTCCGACCTAGTAGTATTTCAAATTTCAACATCCGAACAAAATCTGACCATGGCCCGCTATACAACAGTTTTTGGGCAACTTCCGACCTGAACCTGGCCAATATCCTTCCAGAAGTTAAACCCCTCTCAACATTTGACCAGAAGTTTACAAGCCGGCAGCCGAGCTGTTAGTTCTAATATTTATTGAAACTTTTCAGGGTGTCCATGATCATCGCTACGCCTTTGTAATTTTTGTATCTGAAGGAATCTTCTTGAGCTTTTCCCAATTTGGACAACTAGCTCTCTCTATTCGTTGTGGTTTCATAACAGTTACTTATGCAATTCTTCATGCCCATTTCATCTACAGATACCTCGTATTGAATAGGTCAATTTTCATCCAAAAATATTTTATTCCTTATGGACTCATTCTAACTTTTGTTTACTGTTTCTCGCACATGATACTGTGGACGGCGGTAAGTTGAGCCAGAAAATTGAGCCAGCAAAAAATCACGTTTCAGGTTTGCGAATACTTTTTCTACGGAGACCATGAACGAAAAGAATACATTCATGACTCTTTCAAACAATTGTACAACTTGACATCGTATGACTTCAATATGGTTATAGCACTTTACTGGGAAGGAAGTAATGAGGCGGTTATAAGATCATGGATCGGTGTGGCTGTTGTTTCAACTAGTTCAGCCTATTCGATGGGACTCTTTTTTGTTCTTGGGCACAAGGCTGGTCTGAAATTCGAAAATTATCCTGAAAAAATTTTTACAGATAATGAACAATTTGAAATCCCACTCGAACATAAGTGTCAAGACCCTTCGCCTCCAACACCAACTTTTCCAAGCTCTCACAGTGCAGACATTGATTCCAATATGCGTTAGTTTGATGCCATGTATGGCTGTATGGTTTGGTCCTGTGTTCCTTTTGGATTTCTTTCCAATTTATCTTGCTGCAACTATCGCTGCATCTGCTTTTCCTTGTATTGACCCAGTTGCGATCATCTTCTTTCTTCCATGCCTTCGGAAGAGATTATACTTCATTGGATCTGGACCATCGACGTCTTCGACAACTCATCCTAACTCATCCTTCCGGATATCCTAAATTTTTTTGGGAACAAATGTTGCGATTATCAAAATAAAAACTATTCAGAGAAGTATGTTCGAACACATGTCTCATCGAACACTGAACATATGTTGACCCGGTACGAATGACCTTTGACGACATATAGTGTCTAACACCTTCAAAGACAACTGATCACATGACAAACAGCATACAAATCATGTAAAAAACAAAAAACGTCATTTAGACTATTATGATCAGATAGTTTGAATTTTTGAACAGCTTGAAATTCAAACTTTGAATACATGTTTTTCTTTTTCCACTTTTTTCTTTGTATACCATAATCGTTTCGAATATATGTGATCGTCAACTTTTCCTTCTTCTCTTCTATTCAAATTGACACGTACCCAATGCCTATTTTTGCTATTTCTGTCCAACGAATTCATTTTAGAATGTGACCCGGAATTAGAAACCCATTTCCATTTTCAACTCGACGTCTTGACGTCAAACTAATGTTGATTCATCTTGATGAGTGTCTCATCCATTGAATTTATTTGGCTGGAATAAGAATCAAAGAATTGTTGGGTATAAATCAATTCAACAAAGCGCACTTCCTGATTTGCTTCTGATGTTTTACAACCATGTTTATTTGATCCTTCTGAAATCCTTATTTGAGAAAAAAAAGCAATTTTGGGACCAAACAATCGGAAAGAGGAATTACGTGAGAATAGCGAAAGTTTCCTATGTTTTCCGACTGACGTGGTTGAAATGAACAGGAAAAAGAGATAGAGCAACAAAGAGTCAATGTCTCCTAGAATCATATAGTTTTTCTCTGCAGAGACTCTTTTCAGATTTGCATAAATTCCTATCTGTTTTTTTCTGATTTCCCATTATTATGCCATGTGGCCCTGGCAAAACTTTTTTCCGTTGTTCTAGAACTTTTATTCCAGTTTCGCTTTTTTTCCAGTTGGGAACTTGTCACTATGACTCTCTGAGTGCATATAAATTACGGTAGAGCCTGTATTAGAAGGGCCGGCTCATCTATTGTTCCAAGATATCTCTGGAGGGCTCTTATATTACAAGGGACCTTCTATTAAAGGGACCCTTCTAGTACAGGTTTTACCTTGAAATTATATTGAAGCTGAAATTATGCTCTTCTGAAAATTATGCTGGAAATTTATTCTTCTAATTCTCAATTTCAGTGTCTCGTATACTCTTTATTTCAGATTTTTCAGAAATCAAGAATGGATCCCCCTAAAAAATCTAGCAAGACGAGGCATCTGTCTGAAGCCGAGGAAGAATCGGAGAACTATTTGGAAAACTTTTACAATAAAAATGAGAGAAGTAATCGGAGAGTTAGTTTTGTACAGAGAGGAGCTATGAATCAGGTACTATTAAGTGCCGTTTCTCAATTTTCGTATCCCAGCTTTTAGGCTCAATTTGACGAGAAGTTTGACTACAACAAGCCGCATATGGAGAACCTTGTGAAGAAACAAACCAGAAAATTCGTTTCTAGGTTCTACGAACCATTCTTGTCTTGCAATGCGTTCAAAAATTTCCTTTTCGACCTAATTCCAATTCTCAAATGGCTCCCCGAGTATCGATGGAAAACAGATTTGACCCCAGACATCATCGGAGGGCTTACGGTCGGAGTGATGCAAATTCCACAAGGTATACGTTATTCAGACTTCTATACAATTATTTCCATTTCCAGGAATCGCTTACGCTCTTCTTGCGAGACAACCAGCTATTAACGGGCTCTATGCTTCTCTCTTTCCACCTCTTATCTATATGCTCTTCGGAACTTCCAAGCAATCTAGCCTAGGTACGCCAATATTCAAACGGAAGTATAGATTTTCAAGGAAATTGAAAATTCAGGAACTTTTGCTGTGGTCGCTCTTATGACTGGTATTTCCGTTGAGAGCTTGACAGCACCGGAGGAAACTGCTTTCAATGCGACGGATGTATTGGATCCGGCAGAGGTTATCAAAGAGTATCCGACCGCAACGGAAGTATCATGTGCCATAACAATTCTCATGGGATTGATATTGGTCAGTGAAACGATGCGGGGGTTTTTTAGGTTCTGAAAAATATAGGGAACTAAAAACACGATAACACAATATAATTTGCATAAGTCCCTTTCAGTTCCTGATGGGTGTCCTTCGTCTACACTTCCTAACCACGTACCTTTCTGATCAAGTCATCGCTGGCTTCACAGTTGGATCCTCCATTCATGTGTTTGTGTCTCAATTGAAAACTCTTCTCGGAATCAGAAGACTTACACGTCACAGTGGAGCATTTTATCTGTTCCGACACTTGTATGACTTGGTTCTGGCTCTTCCTAGATTCAATCCTGTCAGTTTGGGAATCTCTGTGGGATCTTTGATTATTTTATACATTGGAAGAGAATTTGTGAATCCATTCATCAAGAAAAAGACAAAATCGAACATTCCTATTCCATGGGAGCTTGTTGTCGTCATTGTGTCAACTGCTTTTGTGTATTTTTCTGGGGTCAATGCTTCCTCGGCAGTGCAAATTGTGAATAAGATTCCTGTTGGAGTTCCAGAGTTTGCAGTTCCTAGGTTTGACATCTTCAAACATGTGTTTAGTGATGCAATCAGTATCACAATTGTCAGTGTTTCCGTATGGTTGTCTATCAGTAAAATGTTAGCCAAGAAAAATAATTATCAATTGGATGCCGGACAGGTAGGAATTGTATTTTAAGCCATATATCAGATTTCAATTCCAGGAATTATTTGCCCTCTCGTTCACGAGTATTGCTTCCAGTTTCATTCCAACTATTCCAATTTCTTGTTCTCTGAGTAGAACTCTAGTAGCTGTTGGAGCTGGATGTGTGACTCAACTATCGATTTTATTCTCTTCAATTCTTGTTTTTCTGGTTGTTTTCTTTCTTGGATCTCTATTAGAGACACTGCCGATGGTAACTGCAAATTTTTAAGATTAGGAGATGAGTGAAAATTCTAGGCTGCTCTTTCTGCGATCATTTGTTTCGCCTTACAAGGAATGTTCAAAAAATTCTACGATCTAGGACAGCTATGGAAGGTTTCGAAGATTGATTTTGTAGGTTTTTTGCCCTGACAGTTTCCAAAACCATTTTAAAATTCATTTTCAGACAATTTGGGTGGTTTCCTGTGGGTCTACAGTGATTCTTGATGTATCCATTGGATTGATCATATCGGTCTTTTTTGCCCTGTTCACAACAATTCTTCGGGAACAATAGTGAGTTATTCAAATATTCCGAAAGTTGTACAAAATTGTTTAGTCCGAAATGGCATATCCTTGCATCTGTGAAAGGAACTCAAGACTTCAAGGATTCTGAGAGATATGGTGATTCAATGTATTTCAAGGGAATCTGTATTTTCCGTTTTGATGCTCCTTTGTTATTTCATAATGTCGAGTGGTCAGTGAAACCTTTCCTTTGTGACAAGTTCCCAAAAAAATCTGCATTTTCAGTTTCAAAAAATCTGTCGATAAAGCATACCTAGAGTGGCAGAAATCCCACGAATTCTACGTTCTTCGCGAGGAACGAGATACAATTTTGAATCATAAAATGGATGGGTCGGATGAGTCTTCGGATGGGAAAACGGTAAGGTCTCGTACTTTCAGAAGTAATCAGTCAATAAATTAAAGGTTCACACTATGAACACCATGTCCGCTGATATTTTATCTCGGCACTTTGTCATTGACTGCTCTGGATTCACTTTTATCGATTTGATGGGTGTTAGTGCTCTGAAAGAAGTAACTTTTCTAAAACTGTTCTCTCAAACCAATTGAAAATTTTCAGATTTTCTCTGATTTGAGAAAACGAGGAATTCTGGTATACTTTGCAAATGCAAAAGCACCTGTTCGTGAAATGTTCGACAAGTGTGACTTCTTCAAATTCGTACCGAAAGAGAACTTTTATCCAACAATGCGAGATGCAACAAGTATTGCGAGACAACGTCAATTAGAGTAAGTTTCTTAATTACTGACTTATTTTTAACTCCTGACATAATTTTCAGACTGGGATTCAAAGACACAACTTATGTTCCGGAACATGACCGACTCACAGAAGTTTTGAGTTCGCACCCGATGTGAACAAATTGATTTATTCTAATTTATATCATAAAAAGAAACAAACGAGTCAGACGAAAACTCCTTGAGAAAACAAATGACTACTGTTTGCATTGAATGGTGTAAAATGAAGTTTTATTTATTTTTCAGTCGTTCTTAATTTCCAGACTTTAGAGTTTCCAAAATACACATAACAAACTTCCAGAACAGAAATGGCCAAACCGTTATTATAATTCCCACCCTCACTATTCAAATTTTTTGGGATTACTCTTGACTGCACGCACACTTTTTCATTCAGAAAAGTTTTGTGATCTTTGTGAACTATGATGTAATCCGTATCTTTTTATTATTACGGTCACTCTGTGCTCTCTCAAATTGACATGATCTATCGAATTTTTCTGATTTACATAAGTCAATACAACGGAATAAAAGTGCGACCTCCAGTGGAGATGGACTCATTCTGCTCTTTCTGTTGACTGTTTCATAGAGAGAGTTTTCACTTTTGAAGAAAGAATTTTTAAAAGGTTTTTTTGAGAGGGGTACTGTAGCAGTCGTTTGAGGGAGTTTTTGGGAAACGGGGGGTTTGTTGAGTAGTCTTGGAGAGACGCTTTATTTTCAGACGATTTGAAAAAATTGTGAAGTTGCGGTTCTCGAAGTAATTATCCATTTATTACGGTATCTTAACCGTTTCAATGAGAGGGAACCGTCTATTTTTTTAGGACATTTTTCCCTAAATTTCACATCGAAAAGTTGGTGAAATCTCGTTCAACATTCCTGAAAATCTATCGATTTCATCAAATCTGAGCAAGTTGTTGAAGTTTTTCTGTAAAGTTTTGGAATATTTTTCTCCAAATACTTACGGAAATTTTTAACTTAAAAAACATATTTAGAAACTGGCCCTTCTTTTTTTCCAACCCTCGTGGGCCCTTCTATTAGAGGTGCCCTTCTATTAAATGGACCTTTCTAATACAGGTTTTATTCGAACTTTGAAGGTTTTATTCGAAATCTTTGAAAACTTTTAAGACCTCTGTATTTAATTTTCAGATGGATGAACCAGCGACGCCATTGACTCCCACCATGATTCGGGTCGAAGAAGAAGAATACGATCTTCTTCGAAGTTTCTATGCGGAAAAAAGAAGAGCGCCAATGAATCAGGTGCGTATACTTACACAAACAAAAGATCCTTATCTGAAAATGTTTTAGGTTGAATTCGACGAGAAATACGGTTACCAAAAGAGGCAAAAAGAGGGTGGAAAATTGAAAAAACAGTCGACAAAAGTGGCCAGTCGGTTAGTTACCATTTAGTCACTTTACACTGAAAACACGATGATCGTTTTCCTGAAAATCAAAAATATTTTGAAAAGAGAACTTGACAGGTACTACGAACCATTCACCTCTTGTTCCAATTTCAAAACTTTCTTATTCAATTTATTTCCAATTCTTGGCTGGTTGCCGAGTTACAACTGGAAAAATGACTTGACCGCTGATATTGTTGGAGGAATAACAGTTGGAGTTTTACAAATACCTCAAGGTAAGTAGTTGAATGACTTTACCTAAATTCAAAACAAAATATTTAGGAATCGCCTATGCCATATTATCTCGGCAGGAGCCTATCGTCGGACTCTACACTTCAATATTTCCTGTATTCATTTATATTTTCTTTGGAACTTCGAAACATGCTAGTCTCGGAACATTTGCAGTTGTTGCACTTATGACTGGATTAGCAGTGGAAAGAGAAGCGTATATTCCATCAGATAATTTGAATTCAACACTTCTTCCTGGCGATCAAGAACTGCCATCCCCTATAGATGTATCATGTGCACTGGTTTTAGGAGTCGGGTTGGTTCAGGTGAGATTTGTTCAAAATTTGAACTTGAATTAAATACATTTTAAAGTTTATGATGGGAGTTTTCCGACTTCAATTTCTGACTACGTACCTCTCGGATCAGCTGATTGCCGGTTTCACTACAGGATCAGCAGTTCATGTTCTGGTTTCTCAATTCAAAGAGCTCTTCGGGATGAGAGGATTAGTAAAACACAGTGGACCAGGATACCTTATCAGAGTGAGACCATGGAATTTTCTTTTAAAAATCCAAACTTTTATTTAGAATGTATTCGATATAATTATGAACATGCCGAATGCGAATCTGATGTGTTGTGCTATATCATTTGTGACAATGTTGCTTCTTCAGTGCGGGAAAGAGTTTGTGAATCCTGTTGTCAAAAGGAAACTCAAATCGAACATTCCGATACCTTGGGAGTTGGTCGCGGTAGGTCAATTGTTTTTGAAAATGTCAAGTCATGTGATGTTCAGGTGATTCTGACTACCATTTTTGTTGCACTCACTAATGCGAACGATGTTTATAATGTGAAGATTGTGAATAAGATTCCGACTGGGTAACTTCCATGATAATATCAATTTGAACTATCAATATTATTCCAGTCTCCCAGAACTTTCACTTCCCCAACCATCACTGATTCCTCGTGTATTACCAGATGCCATCAGTATCGCAGTTGTTGTCGTGGCTGTTCACCTATCACTTTCGAAAATGCTCGCAAAAAAATATCAATATGATTTAGACGCTGGCCAAGAACTATACGCTCTTTCATTTACTGCGATTGGCGGAAGTTTTTTCCCCACATTTCCGACGTCTATTGGATTGGGACGAACAATGGTTGGAGTGGAATCTGGAGTCAAAACTCAGATGGCTACTTTCTTTTCTTGTCTTTTCGTTTTATCAGTTAGTCTTTATTTTGGAAGATTCTTAGAAACATTACCAATGTGTGTTCTATCGGCAATTATTGTGGTTGCTCTGAAAAGTATGCTTTGGAAACTGGGAGATTTACCAGGACTCTGGAGGCTCTCGAAAATTGATTGTGTAGGTCGAAATTTGTATTTTTAAAGAAACAATTTTTGATTCTAGTGCATTTGGATGGTTGCATTCTTTGCTACCGTACTTGTAGATGTCTCCGAAGGACTTATCATTGCTATCTCCTTTGCACTCTTCACAACTATTTTGAGAGAACAATAGTAGGTTTTCCAGTCATAAAAACTGAACAACACGTTGACTTTCAGTCCGAAATGGCACCTTCTGGCAAATGTAAAAGATACGGATGAGTTTAGAGATACCCAACACTATCAAGAAGTTATTTTCATAAAAGGAATTTGCATTTTCCGATTCGATGCTCCACTTTTGTTCCATAACATTGAATGGTGTGTTTAATAAGTGACTTATGAAAAATTCTGAATTTTCAGTTTCAAAAAATGTGTGGAAAAGGCCTACGAGTCGTGGAAGAGTTCTCCTGAATTCAATTCAGTTTACCAGGTAAAACCCAAGGACCATAGATTCGCTTTTGAAGGAGTGCATCGAATTGCTCCAGTCTATCAACAGGTACTCCTCAGAAACATTTTTTTCAGAATATTCAAAATTTCCAGCCTCATCATCCGGGTCTCCATCGTAACCCAATTCTCTCTCGTCACTTTGTTATTGACTGCTCGGGATTCACATTCATTGATTTGATGGGTGTCAGTGCACTAAAGGAAGTATTTTCTGATCTCAGAAAAAAGCAAGTGCAGGTTTATTTCGCGAGTGCGAAAAGTAATTTGAGTGAATTAATTGAGAAAGACGGAAATAATTATTTTCAGTTCCGGTACGGGACATGTTTGAAAAGTGCAATTTCTACGACTTCGTGTCCAAAGAGAACTTCTATCCAACATTGAGAGATGCCACTGGAATTGCGAGATTGAGACAAAACAAGTGGGTTTTAAATTAGCTCGTTATTTTTAAAAACGGTATGTTCCAGATTCGGCTTCATCGACACACCGAGAGCACCAGAGTTCGATGAAGTATCGAATGTCACAAACAACTTGCCTAATCATTGAAAACGAAATTTCAATAAAATGTTAACTAACTTTCGGTCTTCTTCTTCTTGTTATCTATTCTGTTTTCCACTACCAATCAACTGCTGTTGCAAAATGTGTGTACGTGAGTAGTTAGATGAGTAGAAAACGGATAAGTGAGAAAGTGAAACCAAAAACAATTGCAATCAGAAGGATACATCAACACTTTCTGATCTGAGTTCAAACTACAGCAAGAAATGGTCAGAAGCAATTGTTCGGTTGTTTCGCTCTTTGTTCCTTTTCTCAAAAGTTGAACAGAATTCAGAATTATGGAATTGAAAAGGATGTAAAAATATACCAGAGTAAATATACTACTAACACTAGGTGTAAGTTCTAAAAACAATATTCAAGTGCGATCAAAGTATCCGTATCTGAACTTTCGTATAACAAGGGATGTATTTTCAGAAAGGCTCTGAGAATCTTCGGAAACTTGGTCGCTGGTACTTTCAAACGTGCTAATTTTTGGGATTTGGGATTTAACTTTGAGTCATATTTTTCAATACTTCTCTGCAACCGTCCCCAGTTTCATCTTCAATTTTAGAGCAACAATGCTCTGTGAGCACAACTTCCAACTCAAAATAACAAAACCAAAACCCAGTTTCTTGCTCGATCGCCTCGAACGTTCTTTGGCTTTTTTCCGCCAACTGTTATCTCAAATGAACTCAATGTGCTCGCCACCTGGAAACCACGCAATTATAGAGCTACAAACAACGTACAAATTTGAAGAGAAAAAAAGAGAAGTCGACTGAAGGCACTGACAGAAGAGAGATGGAAAATTGTGACCTTGAGGTGTATTTTCTCCGTGAGAAATGTAGAAAAATAAAGAGAAAAAAGTGATTAGAGACAGCAGACAGGAGAGAGCATGAGCATTGAACAGTTTGGGATAGAAACTATAATTATATTGGATAATTAGTAATAATAATCATCACGAAGAAGCCAGCCAGCTTGGAAGATTTCAAAATGAAAAAGGAAATCCAAACGCTTAAATCTGAAACATAATTGTATGTCAGATTAATGGAATGAATGTTTTCCATCTTCGCTTTCCAGTACTCGTAATGTTCTGTATTAATTTAATTATGACGAGATGAGCGATTTTTGATGAACAAGTGTACCATAAAATATCAAATTGAATTTACACAGGAAAACATGACAAAACTCAAATACTGTAAACACTCAAAATAGAATGACCCCAAAAATTGGAACTTTGAGCCAATTTATCTTGTTTCCTGAGAAAAATATCAAAGATGTGTTAACTGATAAAATGCTATTTTGATAAACAATAATGATAAACAATTTTTCTGTTGACATCTTTTTGATATCATTTACAGGAAACTAAATAAATGGGATCAACGCTGACGGTTTGGGGGCATCCTATTAGAGTGTTTATGGTTATTGCCGGCTGCTGTAAAAAACAGGAAAATGGAGTACATCGTGTTTATGTACAGCACACAGACACTATAATTGAAATTGCACCACTTGGAAGCGCAGTTCAATTAGAGGTTGCACTGCTATTTTTCAAAGATTGTACACTGGGAATTATTATTGGAAGTGAATGCAGTTCAATTAGAGTGTTTACGGTATTACGGAAACTACTTATTTCAACTAAAAGCTAAGTGCTTGAATTTCTTATTGATAAATGTTCTAATGAATTTTCAGATATCGAAGTTTCTTCCTTTCCCAGTTTTCATAAACTTTGAGTTCATATCACCCCAATCTGAAAACATGTCTGAAAAACAGTGTAATCCATCTTCTTCATTTCAAACTCTGATACTTGTCAGATTTGACTTTTAGTCGAAAGCCATTTTCATCCAATTTTGTAATCAGTTGTGCTCCTCCTAATCTTTTTTGTGACAGATAATTTTCCGAAACAAACACCATCAAAGTACGTTCATTGAAACATGTGTGTACTCGTTCTTCTTCAAGAAAATATAGAAAGAAAAACAAAAGGGATAGGGGATCCGAGAAGCGATCAAACACGTGGTATCGTCAATCTTCTCCGTCGACCACACTGCTTTCTTTATGAACACAAAAGTTAAGATGATAGGGAAACAATTGAGATGGTGACCATTGAATAGTTTAAAGCAAGATGAGGAGGTTCTGGTGTGTTTTGAAAACTGAAACTTTTCTGAAAACTAATTGCCGGGAGAATGATCTCGCGTAGAAGTACGCTTGTTCTAGAAGTAATCAACTCTAAAATCTAAATCAGATGGACCCCTGAAATTGAAAAGCAACTCTAATTGAACGGCCAATCTGAATCGCCTTCTTAAATAATTGTATAGGACAATTTTAGGAGCCTGTTGGTTAACGGTAATTCCAAAGTAAGGGCGCTGCTGAGAACATGATCGCACTGAAAGGGGAAAATAGTTTGAAAAATGCGTTCAAAACTACCAAAATAATTTTGAGTGACCCACTTTTTTCATTGTCTCTGATTGGAAAACAATCAACTTTTCTGACATTTTTTTTTGATACCGGCCCATATTTTTTTTTGAGTTTTGCTATCAATGTAAAAAGGGGAAACACTTTCTCGACTCTGAAAAAAAACTAGGTCCAAAACGGTATTCCATTTTACTCCCTTTTGGTTGCTTTTAGCCGTTTTTTTTTTGTATTTTTTTGAAGACTTCTTGATCCGTCTTTTTACACCGAAGATGATTAAAATCTTGGATAATTTTCTAAAAAGTTGAAAGTTTAAAAAATTCGGTGTTTCAAGTGTTATAAAACCCAAAAAAAAACACTCCAATGCGGTAATTTATTTCTGAATCAGCGTTATTTAACGAGAAAAAAAAGAAAATGTTTGAATAGATAGTTTCTAAAGATTGAAAAAAATAAGTTTGATCACATTACCAGGAGTGTAGCAAGAGAGGAATGTCTGGAAAATTATTGGAGATCTTAATCCTGGTAAACTATTTAAAAAAAATTAAAGTCACGATTGCTTTTCCCTACTCTTTTAAATCAAAAAATTAAGCTGGTCAATCCTAGGAAAGATATCACAATGAGGTTAACTGACAAAACATTCGTGATATTATGATAAACAATTTATCAGCGGAAACATATTTGATATCTTGCATTGGAATTGAGATAATTGGGCTAAAACTTGGTGGTGTGTGGTCTCTTCTATTACAGGTTTTACGATTCCAAATACAAATGTTTCCTCGAGATTCCAGCACATTTTGAACTCCAGAAAACACTTGGTAGGAAAAAAGGAGACCAAAAAGTGTTGACGACAGAGTTGGAAGTAGAAATATACCTGATCATCAGGATATAGGAACCGAAAATCTTGCATTTCCTCTAAACTCTCTCAAATATTCTAAACTAAACTCCACTATTTCAGATTACAACCAATTATCTCCAGCCCCACCTCCAACCATCAGCGTGTTTTCCACCTTGGGTCCATGGGGTTCAACCCCGTATTCTTGACCAATCCACACGTGTTTGCCGCTGTCACAAAGAGTTGATAAGAAAGAGATAGTGCGCATTTCATGGGAGGTGTCTTCTTTTGATCGTTCTTCGCGCCTTTACACAGTAAGCACGTGTTCAAATAGTGCACGCACCCGGGAATCTGCTGGGAAGCTCCGCCTACCCGCATTGGCAACACGTGTAGTATAAAAGGGATGTCCGGATCAACTGAAATTCACAGCTTCGGATTCCCACATTTGAAAGCAGTTACCTCAACATGACTGTCGAGATCCCAACCACCCAACGTGCTCTTGTTTTCGACACCTGGAATGGACCACTCGAAGTGAGACAGGTTCCAGTTCCATCTCCAGCCGACGATGAGATCCTCGTCAAAATTGAATACTCTGGAATCTGCCACTCTGATCTTCACGTTTGGCTCGGAGACTTGAAGGGAATGAGTGTTTGCCCATTGGTTGGAGGACACGAAGGAGCTGGAAGCGTTGTTCAAATTGGAAAGAATGTCACTGGATGGCAACTTGGAGATAAGGCTGGAGTCAAGGTAATATTTTTTATCTCAAAGCTTCCCTGAATTCTTAATTTTCCAGCTCATGAACTTCAACTGCCTTAACTGTGAATTCTGTAAGAAGGGACACGAGCCGCTCTGCCACCACATCCAAAACTACGGATTCGACCGTTCCGGAACCTTCCAAGAATACCTCACAATCCGTGGAGTCGATGCTGCCAAGATCAACAAGGAGACCAACCTCGCCGCCGCTGCTCCAATCCTCTGCGCCGGAGTTACAGTCTACAAGGCTCTCAAGGAGTCGAACGTAAAGCCGGGACAAATCATTGTACTCACTGGAGCTGGAGGAGGTCTTGGATCTCTTGCCATCCAATATGCGAATGCTATGGGAATGAGAGTAGTGGCTATGGATCACTCCAGCAAGGAAGCTCATTGCAAAAATCTCGGAGCTGAGTGGTTCGTTGATGCCTTCGACACTCCAGATATTGTTTCTCACATCACAAAACTCACCGAAGGAGGACCACATGGAGTTATCAACTTTGCCGTTGCCAGAAAGCCAATGGAGCAAGCTGTTGAATATGTTAGAAAGCGTGGAACAGTTGTGTTCGTCGGACTTCCAAAGGACTCAAAGGTGAGAATTTAGAATTCTCTTGATAAATGTATTATCATCCGATTTCCAGGTCACTTTCGACACCACCCCATTCATTTTCAATGCTATTACCATCAAGGGATCGATTGTCGGATCTCGTCTTGACGTCGATGAAGCCATGGAGTTCGTGACTCGTGGAATCGTGAAGGTACCATTGGAACTTGTCAAACTCGAGGATGTTCCAGCTGTATACCAAAGAATGATCGATGGAAAGATCACATCTCGTGCCGTCGTCGATTTCTCCATGTAAAAAATCATTTGAAGCTTTATCCCACACATCCATTTGTTGCTCAATTGTAAATATCCACACCCTTTGCTTTTAAAAACGCGGTTTTATATACTTGACCTACTAAAAGAGATTGAATAAATGTATTATAAAGACTTTATCACAATAAAGAAGAAACGTTTAAAAATATCTAGATGATAATTTGATAAAGATCGAAACTTTCACAATGAGAAATCAACAACAACACGAGAATTGATTTTTCCGTCTTCCATCTTCCTGTAGACCTTTGAGACGTCTTCTAGTTTGACCATTTCCAATGGAACTTTCACAGCTCCACGGGCCACAAATTCCAATGCTTCTTCGGTATCCAAACGAGATCCAATAATTGAACCTTTGACAGTAATTGCATTGAATATCAATGGAGTTGTATCGAACATAATCTGAAACAAAAAAAATAGTTTTTCAGAATCAAATTGTTTGATTATCACCTTTGAATCTTTTGGAAATCCAACTAAAACAATGGTTCCTCTTTTTCTGATATATTCGAATGCTTGCTCCATTGGTTTCTTCGCCGCAGCAAAATTAATAATTCCGTGGGGTCCTCCGTTCGTAATATTCTTTATGTGATCTGATAAATTTTCAGTGTTGAATGCATCTACAAACCACTCGGCTCCAAGATTCATGCAATGATCCTTCTTCTCACTGTGATCAATTGCAATAACTCGCATTCCCATGGCTCCTGCATATTGAATTCCAAACGATCCCAGCCCTCCCCCAGCTCCAGTAATCGCCACAATTTGTCCTGGCTTCACATTTGTTTCTTTCAGCGCCTTATATGCGGTAACTCCTCCACAAAGAACCGGAGCAGCTGCTGCCAAATTCAAATCCTTTGGTATTCTAATGGCATCCATGGCTCGAGCAGTAACATATTCTTGAAATGTTCCATGACGATCAAATCCATTGTTACTAATTTGATCGCATAGTGGTTCATTTCCCGTTTGCAATATTCACAATTGAAACAATTCGAGTTGATAAGCTATAGAAAAGGAATGTAGCACAAAAAATACTTACTTAAACTAAACCTTAACCCCTGCTGGGTCTCCAACGTTCCAATCCTTCACTTTCGTACCAGTTTTGACAACTACTCCTGCTCCTTCATGACCTCCGATCAATGGATGAATTGTCGCGTAGTCAAAATCGCCATTCCAAGCATGAAGATCCGAATGGCAGATTCCAGAATAATTTATTTTAACGAGAATCTCATCGTCTTGGGGTTCTGGTATAGGAAGTTGTCGAACCTCTAGTGGTCCTTTGAAATCATCAAAAATAAGTGCCCGATGAGTGGAAGACATTGAAACACTGAAAACCCAAGATCAGTTTAAGAAGAACAGGTTTTTATACCAAAAACCACGTGGTTGGAGGCGGACATAATTCTCTAATTCGATTGTTGACCAATACTTTTGTTTCAGAGTAGGTGTGTCTACAATGTTATCGGACCGCTGGTTACGTTACTGATTAGAAAACTACAGGTGGAGTTTGTGTAGACATTGATACTAGGCTCACATTTAAAAAAGAGCGAATGTGTGTGATGTGACGGAAACTAGAAATTTGGAGCTCTTGGAATATTTTTAGATTTGTAAAAGGAAATCACTGCGGCTAGGTCTGTGTCAGCCTAGTTTTGGGGCAAACGAGTACCGAGTCAGAAGAATCTGAATTGTATTAAAGGGGAATCACCTCTTTTGCTCTCCGCGGGTTGACACCTGAAAAGGGGCATTTGTATTGCTAAATTTTGAAATCGGACTTTGTGGTTCCTGGTATTCTTCGAATGGGAGTTTTTGGTTAGATTTTCGAAACAATTCAATTTTTTCAAATACTTGTGATCTCTCCAACTAGCAAGCTTCAAAACTTGCTGACTACAAAAATATTCGCAGCTTGTAACATCTTGTGAAACCCAGTTATTTTCCCAGTAACCAATGTTTGAATCGAAACACATTTTGTGTAGCCTAAGATTCAAAATCAATCCGCAACGTATTCGTAATTGAGTTTTCTTGAAACTTCAGACAAACCTACAATCTTGCTTCTATGATGTAACAGAAGGGTATATTCGAGGGAAAAATCAGTAGGTTTGTTGGTTGTCTGGAACATTAGAGGGCAAAACATTAGAGGGCAAAACATTAGAGGGCAAAACATTAGAGGGCAAAACATTAGAGGGCAGAACATTAGAGGGCAAAACATTAGAGGGCAAAACATTAGAGGGCAAAACATTAGAGGGCAAAACACTTTTTTTTGACTTTTTTTTATTTGGTAAGATTGTTTTGAATTTTTGGTATACGGTAGTTTTTGTTGACTTAATTTCGATATTTTTGTGATGTGTCAAGAGAACTATTATTACTGTGATAGTGAGATGCCATAGTTAACAAATGTCTCTTTTTCAGAACGCAGACTGTAGGAACGATGTGGAGAAATGGAAACTTGTGAGAAAAAATATGAGACTTTTCTCTCAGACAATTCTTCAAGATGCGCTATTTTTTATAGACAACCTATTCACTTATCATATGGGGTAATGTGTTCTAAAAAGTTTCATGTTTGGCGGGAGCGATGTGAGCAGTGGCTGAGACCAAATGAACAAAATGGTCTTCTTGGAATAATTCTGAAATTATTAGTTTTGTTTGATCAGCAGATTAAAATTCAGAAGTCAAATAGTCACACCCTTGAATGTTTGAACTTTTCCGGCCACCTTTTTTTAGATTTATTCCCTCATAATCATGCCTCCGATAATTTTATTGGCAAATATTACCAGATTAGGCTAGAGATTTTCTTTTCTGCTGCCTGTCTTTACATCAAGTTATTCGAAATGCTTGAAAATCTGTAGCTGTCGTAAACATGCAATCAATTTGAACTTTCAAGATACAAGACATGAAATTAAGTTGCTGAGATGTTAGTTGTTTCAACAGACTCTGTCACACGAATTCTGTCGAAGTTTAGTCTTTGCGAGCAGAATGAATTCTTCTGAACCACCTCCCGATTTTAGAACTTGGCCTAATTCTTTAGCAGCATTTATGATGACAATCGTAAGTATCATTAAAACACAAAATTGACTTCCATCATTTTCTAGGATGCTGTTCTTGGTATATTACTGAGCGGATCCATTTTGTACATATATACAAGAGAGAGTCAGCAAAGAACGTCGTTCAACCTTATCTGTGCCATCCGAGCTGCTAACAACATTCTAGTGATGATAACTGGTTTTGTCTTGGTTTATATTCCAGGCGCATTGTTGTAAATAATCAGCTAAATTGATTTCAAATACACCAGATACATTTTCAGAGGCTTTTCCGTTTTTCCCAAATGGCTGGAGTCATTTTTGATATGCGTCAGTCTCAACTTTTACCTTTTCAATGAGTTTCAAAGTATTTATATTTCGATGAATCGATTCACTGCCATCTATTTTCCGATTTGGTACAACTTTTTCTGTGGATTCTATGCAACAATTTTTGTGCAAGTCCTTTTATACGGTCACCGATGTGTCAATGTTGGTTATGAAACATATCAGAGAACCAGTGAGAAATCGAAGCTTCTAGTAAGATGAAAATAACATTTCAGCCAGTGGGAATTACATCACATTCTCTTCGGACCTCCTCATGTTCACTTCCATCGGAGTATCTGGGATAGGGCTGGTTACTGTAGTTGGGATAATGTTTGAGTCGCTTTGGCAGCCAACTTGTTCACCTTTGCCAAAATTATTATGTTCTATTGGGTAGTTCACTTTCAGGGAAGAAATTTTCACTTCCAGATTATCTTATAGAAACCAAATTCTCACAAAGACTCGGAGAACAACAGGAACATAAAAAGAAATATTAAATTGTTCTTACAAACTGTACTACAAGATGTTCTCTTCTTCATCGACAACTTTTTCACATCCATTATGATGTATTTCGGAAACACTCCTAATGAAATTTATTTTGTTACTTTCAGCGGTCTCATTCAACACCGGTTTTGGTTCTTCATTTGTGCCACATTCGTCTGGCAAACTATACACGTCATCGATGGGTGAGACGGACTCACCATGTCCTATAATTATGGAAACTTTGATTTCAGGCTCGTTATGATAATGTTTAATGATCGATTCAGTCTTTTGAAAAGGTCACTTTTTCCTTCGCAATCAGCTCCAGTGAGTATGATTGTCGAGTCAAATTCATGGAGGAATCAACCAAGAAGACAAGACATTCCAATGGTTGCATGATTTTGATTAGCATTTTCGGAAGGTGTCGGAAACTTTGAGATCCCCATTTTCCTAATTAAAAGAAAAAATAAATTTCTTCATGATTTTTTTCTGAGATGATTAGAAATATAGATTTACATTTGATTCAAAGCAACTGAAACTTTCAAAACGATTCCTCAAGTCTAGAAAAAAAAACTAAAAAAAACTCAGCTCAACGTTGATTAAATAACTTGAAACTTTGCCAGTTTACTGATTAATTATTCGAATTTCCGCACTCCAAATTTGAGAAAAATACAACGCTTTATTCAAATGTTATACTAGTACAAGCTTAGTCCGAGTAATTATGTGCCAACCTGTATCTCTCGTTCTCTATGGAGATTTACATTTTCTTTAAAGAGTGCTCAGTTTTTACTTGCTCTTTAAGATCTATCATTTCAATTTTTGTAAGAAATGCCAAGAATTTGCATTCTACAAAAGTGATAAAATCTGATCTTTGATTTATACTAAGTATAGGAAACAAGTTAATTTATAGGTTATTGAACAACAATTGGATGAACACGAGCACCCACACAAACATTTTTTGTTTATCTTCTGCACCAAATGTTATCACCCAAGCAACACATTTTTTTTCAATTTTCCCACATTTGGGCGCCTAGAAAAAGAGTACATTTGAGCAGGTGTAAGCGTTGCTATGGAAACTGAGATAAAATGTCGAAAAAAATCTTGTTAGGGGGGAAATGTTTGAGTGTCAGGTGACTTTATTGGAGATATGACAAGCATTTTTGTTGGAAGGATATCAAAATTATTGAGAGACTGTGGATGAGTATGATGGGAGAGTGTAGGTCACTTTGTCCCGAACTACGGACTCATACGATGGCGGGGAATTTGAAAAGATAACATTGTAAGACGGTGGAGGAGGCTCTGAAGGTGGGCTTGACGGTGTCAACGGAGGCATGAATCGAGGACCAGGAGGATGCATGAATTGAGGAAGTCTTGGACCATTCCTCAACTTTTCCATTTGCTCCATTTCTCTTATAACACATTTTCGAATCAGGAATATAACCACCATCATACCTGCACAACATCTGAAAAATGAGGGGTTTTTGGGGGACTTTCTATTTTGTACCAAACTTACAGAAGGATTAAGAAAAAACGGAATTCAATAACACAATGGATGCCTTTACATGAATATGGAAATCCGCATGTGAAAAAAAGAACATTTGCCTTGGTTCCATTTGAGAAACGGGTCTGAAATTAATATTTGAAAATCGCATTAAAAAAATGAAAACACTATCTCACTTTATGAAATTCCGGTGAATCTACAGTAGTGAAATAGTACCCACAGAAATGAGTCTCATCTTTCACATCCTCGTGAGTTTTTGACCAATAATACTTTTGCTTTTCGAATTCTATAGGCTTCTCCGGGTGAACAGTATACAGTAATCCTTCATCGTTCTCCCCAATATCAAAGAAGCCAGAGTATTTATCGAAAACTATATTGACGAAACGATCGTAAAACTCGTCTCCGGGTCTGAAAAGAGATGACTTAAATGATACTTCTTCAAGAATCCCGTTTGACAGATACCACTAAACCGTACAGATTAAGGCTATGAGACATGAATTAAGTTTTCCGAAACGTACTAAAATTCGAAAAATTATGTTTTCATTCATGTGTACTCGCACTCTAATCCATAGGAAAACTAGAAAAAAAAAACTGTAACTCAGACACATTCAATCAATAAAACTTACGAGAAAGCATTAAAAATAGTGGATACATCATTAGAAGTTTCGACGTATTGAACAAGTAGAAATACTGATATCAAGTAAGAAATCAACATGTGAATTCAAAGGAGAACTGAAAGCTTTGCTTTCTTCTTCTTTCTCTGCTTTGAGAAAAGAAGCAGAATGTGTGAGTGTTGCCTTAGATACTGGCACCTCGCCTTCTCTTCTGAATTCGCCACATTGCCTCTGCTCTATGATTACGTCAACCCAGAAACTCAGAGAAAACCTTCCACGCAAAACATCAAAGGAATGACGGAATTGACAGAAAACGATAAAAATAGTTTGCAACAATTGAAAGAGAGTATAAGATGTATCTCAACAAGCATTTGGGATTGAAAAGTTCTGAATTTTTAAGGCACGGCCCGGTTTTTCAGTACTACGTTTCAGATAATAAACTAACCAAGAACATAGTCTCATTTAGAAAAAATGATTTTTTTTTCAAATGCGGGAAACCCGGCCGGACCGGGCCTTGGTTTTTCGAGTATGATTATTCGGTCAAGGATACTATTACACAGCCCTGTTTATTTTGTTAACGTCGTCTACAGGGAATATTTTCAAACAGGAAGAGAACTATCATAAAAAATTCGTCCATCTGAATTCATTTCCAGTTAATTTTCAGAAACCCAAGGTTGTCTTATTTTTTCTTTATTGAAGTCATAAATTAATGGAAGGAAATTGAAAACAACAACATTCATTCGTCAGAACAGAACACAGTTTTTGGTCTCGATGCGTAGAATTGACGCGAAGTAGCGAGAGTTACTTTTTTTTATTCGTTTTCATCCAATTTCTCTGGAATTTTGTGCAGGTGATTGCTAAACTCTTCAGTACCACAAGCATAAGGCTTTTTTTGAAATCCGGAATAAAAGAGTTCAGGGACCCCTAACTAACTGATTTTTTTAAACTCAAGATTCACATTTTTATCGAACCTTCAGTCAGTTGTATCTCCTGCACAAAAACAATCATTGTATCTCCTGCACAAAAACATTTCATTTCATATCTGATGTTCATAACTAGTACAAAAATACATCAATTACCGTAAAACCTGTATTAAAAGGGCCGGCCCTTCTATTGTTCCAAAGCACCTCTGGAGGGCTCTTCTATTACAGGAGCCCTTCAATTAGAGGGAGCCCTTCTATTTTCCGGTCATTTTTCCCGGAAATTTTCATCGAAAAATTCAACGAATTTTTGTTCAAAAGTCATGAAAATCTGTCAATTTCACCAAAATTAATCAAGTTTTTGAGCAAAATGTTGTTTTTCAACAGATTTATATTAAATTTTAGAATTCCCGAAATATATTTCACTGAAAACGTACGGAAAATTTTTAATTTCATGACTATTTTGAAGGGAGTCTTTCTTTACAGGGGGCCCTTCTATTACGGGGGCCCTTCTATTTTTCCAAACCCCTCTCGCGGGGGCCTTCTATTAAAGGGGCCCTTCTAATACAGGTTCTACGGTATTTCGCATTCTGGAATTTCTGAAGTATTCTAGAATTTCGGAAAATGTTCGATTCTCGAAAAACTTCTGGTTATAATACTGAGATTTTAAGAATCACCAGTACAAAATTTCAAGGAAAATTGGATGCAAAGGAGCACAGTGATGAATAAATAAAATATTGATTCTCATAATTTCTAGCCCCCGTATACGGTATTTCAATATTTTCTGAATTGTGGCTTTATTTCCCTTGAGTTGCACATCGAAACCCGTAACAACACATTCAATAAGTTGCTGATCTAAAGCAAAAATGAAAACACTTCTTATCCTATAAAACAGATGACACTGATTATGTAACTTTTCCTAACGTTACAGATTCATAAGAAGGTGGTACTTTAGAAAACACAGAATTATAGCAAGGTGGAGCTTCTAACTCTATTCGTTCAATTGTAGCTGGATTTTCAGCAGTTCGATTTTCCCTTTGGATTCTTTCCGTTCGTTTCATATCTCTCCAGAGCATTCTCTTGAATAACCAAAAAATAGTTACGAAGACTGTGAGGAATCTGAAACATTCGGAAGTTAATTGCAGATAGATTTAAGGAAATACTCACATGGGTGGAACCAAAAGCCTACTATCAATCCTACACTCCAGGCCCATACATGATTGTGCGAAATGGCAATAATAGAACAGAGATTTCATTTTAACACCGTCTGCGTTGTATGTCTGGGAATCAAAATAATTACAGGACATTCTGTGAAAATTCAGGAAGCTAACCTCATCAAGTTCTTTAGAATCAATCATCCAACTGATTCTATATTCACAGAGATTCAAGGAACGTTTCGATTCCAAAAGAGTATCATTCCAGTAGTATTTGTACTTCTCGAACTCTATTGGACCATTAGATCGAATGATATACCGTCTAGTCTTCTTAGTCTGTTCCACCTCAAAATAATTCATCTCTTCCATATATACAGTTTTAATAAACTTCTTATAGAAATCTGTAGAAATATCTCTGAAGAAGAGGAATAATTGAATGGGGAGGTGATATCTAATCACTTACGCATGATAAGTTACAGTAGCCACACCAACGACCCATATCGGAATCAAAAGAAGAAGTAATAAAACTGTTATCAGCATGCAAATTGATTAACGATACGAATCAGAAATGGCTGCTGCTGGTATTCTATATCATATTATTCTTCTTCGTCTTTCAATGTTTCCACCTACTTTTTCTAGTTGTGACGCTCCATTCATTGTTGACGTCAAGATCAAACAACTGGCACAGAAGACGATAGGATGAAATCATTTTGTCTTCAAACCATTGACGAAAAGTTGAAAAATTAAGAATAGTGATGTCATTCGCAAAAATATCACTACAAACCGGTACTTTTTGGTCTTCTCGGGTTCGAATTGAGTGACAGAAATACTAATAAAGGAAGTTAATAGTCCAGTGGAGTCTCTTTGATTGTAGATTTTCGAATTTTCGTTGCGTGCAATTTTAGAAAAAAAAAATCATCAGCGAGTACTGATAAACAAGATATAGATGTAACTGCTTAATTTATAGTTATCTCGGCTGTTGATCTGTAGCTTCTGGTCAGAAGTTAAGAAGGGCTTCGGCTTTTGGACGGATATTGGTCACGTTCTGGTCGGAACTTGCCCAAAAATGGCTGTATAGCGGGCCATAGTCTCGGTCGGAAATAGAAAGTTGAAGCACTACTAGGTCAGGATCTTGTCATAAGTTTGTCGGGATTTTGTCTGCTTTAGATCGGTCTTATCCGGAATCTGCGCAACCTTAGACCAGAATTTGGCGGCGACACCCGTATGAAATCATTTCCGTGCCAAATTAAAAAAATGTTCAAGCAGCAAAATGGTATACTAACTTTGTATTTGATTTGAATAAATTTGTTCAAACAAGTTGTCAACTACGGAATCGAAGTGTTGTTTTTGTTTAGTAGACCTGATAATTTTTCAGTTTCGCCCAGCTCAATCTACCATACCATCGACATCAAAGCTGGCTATTTTCTAAAAATTGGTCAAATTAACAGCGTTTTTGCCTATGAGCAGGCTAGTTTCAGTTTAAAAAACTAATACTAGACTGAAAACAGAATGACCTTAATATGAAAAGAAGAAAGCTTTCGAAAACCCTTGGCTTAGGATATGGGAAAATTACCGTATTTCCTCAAATAAAAGCCTACTCAATCGTCGGCTCAATTATCTCGATTCCTGTGAAAGATATCAAAATTTTGTCAACTGTTAAAATGTTGATGATATTATGATAAACAGATTATCAGTAGACAAATGTTTTATCTCTTTTACATGAATCGGGGTATCTTTTACATGAATCGGGGTACCTCTAATTGAAGACCATGGGCTTCTATTTTTCAACCTCCTTCTAAGGAAATTAGCAAAAACTGAAATTTATAGAAATTTTTTGAAAAAGAAGAAAATGCCTGCCATAACCGAGTAGGCGAGCAGCGCTGTACCAACAGCATGAACTGAACTGCACGAGCTTCTATGATTTTGAGCACGTCGGGGGGTTGGCTTCTATTAGAGGTGGGGTTCTATTAGAGGAAATACGGTAATTGGGCTCAAAGTTGTCTCTGAAAAAGTTATTTTATTCTCCGGGTTCATTTTCTTCGTCCATCTTCCGAAATTGTTTCACTTTAAGTGGGTCTATTCGTTTGAAGAAAAATTAGAAAAAAATCTGGAAAATCAGTGAAAATCGAGAAAATAATCTGGAAAATAAAAATATATGTTGTGTGTTATGGTAGTTTTCGTTCTGGGACCCACGGTCACCAACCATCTTTTTGTAAACGGAACCACCTAATCTTAACAAAAAAAGACAACTTCAGAAAGAATTGTCTCGGAATTAGGTGAAAATTAATTTTATTGTCATATTCTACAGTTGATGTTTTGACTAACGGATAATTTCTCAATTCATCTTTTTGTATTGTTTTATCCTATTTTTCTGTGTGAAAAGATTTGAAATCTTGTCTCTGAACCCAAAAAAAAAATTCTAGACAATGTATTTTTAGGTGGTCGTATGCCTGCTTCAGATTGACGTATAAACTTTATTTTAAAGTTATGCGAACATTGGAGAAGTGGTTGGACACAAAAAGACAAATTCAAGAAAATATGAAAGAAAAGAAAACAGTGTGCAGAAAAAAGGGGGAAAGGGCAGCAGAAACCGGGTTTTCTCATGATAAAGACAAGAAATAAATGGAGGAAGTGGGTGATGGTACTGAGGCACAGAAAGTCAAAAAGGAACATCTACTCGACAATGGAACTATGGTTGGGGGGTGTACAAAATGAATTTGAATTCTAGCGGGGGAAAATGCGAATGGGTGAAAAAGCAGAGTAAATTTTGAAAATTAGGGGGTATTAGGTTATAAGATAAAAATATTAGTTGAATCTTATAGTTAAGGAAACGGGAAAAATCAGCGAAAATGTATACAGCTAGTTGACAAAGTGTGAAAGATGTGTTGAATAGAAGAAAGAATGTTGGGGAAAAAGAATGCGAATGAATAAATTAGAAGAAGAGAAGTTGGACTGTACGACACAAAACGCTAGCGATGATTGATTGGGATGATGGTAGGATGTACAAGTACATGAAGAAAAAAGCATGCAGATTTCACAAATCAAATAAGTTAGATCTACTCGGTTTGGAGTTGCTTATTGTACAATTTTGTTTAGTTTTTTGTAAAAAGGCACTGGTTCGAAAGAGCGCATAAATTACATAGATACAATGGGTCGTCAAATGAGAATAAATGAAAGAAATCAAGAGATTTTGATTGGGTTGGAAAAAGAAGGACATCGGGTTGAAAGATTAAATAAGGGGAAGGGTGTCAACTAGCGGCATGAATACATTTAGACTGGGAAAAAGGAAAAAAAGGGGCGGGGAGTGCACTAGAGACTATACATAGAAAATTGAAAACATAACAAGAAAAGATTATTAATAGTATATATGAATCTTGAAGATATTACGGGGAAAGATTGATTAGAAGAAAAAATTTGAATAGAACCTTTCTAGAAATCCCTGAAAATGGACGGTTCTCTCTGAAGTTTTTTGGGCAAGCCACACTCTTATTGTGGATTGCTGAGTTGTGCGAAAACTGGCAAACGACTCGGAGTAGTCACCGACGGCGTGGTTGCTGGAGCAGACTGGTCAGCAGCAGTCGTAGACCATTTCGATGTCAAGAGTCCTGGAGATATTTTTATTATTTTTGAATTTTGAAACTTTTTTTGCAATAAAATTACCTGGAAAGGTGTCTGTTAAGGAGTCTTCGATGTTCCACTGACAAAGATTATTCAGCAGGCTACTGAATTGATTGTCACTTCTGAAACCCCATAGAATAGAATAGAAAAATCGAGTTAAGCTATCTTACATATTCGACTGATCGTACGACAAGAATCGATTCGTCTGAACGCGTGGCACAGCAGCCGTCTTCTGCGACTTGTGTGGTGATGCGGATAGGAATCCAGCAGAGAATGGACCTGGAAAAGAGCTAGCCTTCAAATTGAAACCTTCAGAAAAACTACTCACCATTATCGTCAAGATCCAGACCAGGCGAGAAGCTACCGTTCGGCGATTCACTGCCGGAATCGTTCGAACTACACGGGGGCGATTCCCCAGCACTCCCGTACCCTCCGTTTGGCAACGAATAAACTCGTTGGAGAACGTTGTTGGGTACACCTCCAGTGCTCTGTGTCTGATGTTGACTTTGCTTCATGTTCACATTGTGATACTGTGAAGCATAGAGGGATGGTGTATTCGGTTGAGATACTGGAGTGGAAATCGGGGTCGTGTACTGGCTTGGTGGTTCACTGAAATATATCAATCAGGTCTGGATACTCAGTTTGGTTCCAAAACTCACTTATGAATGAAATGACATCTTGGTCCATATGGGCAATATCCACTCTGATGAAACGATTGGCATGCCTCTGTCTTGTACTTTGGATGACGGGGAACTGGTCTTTTCTCTACTTCACCATGGGCATACTGGCATCGTTCTCCATAGTTGCATCGTCCATGGTCCATCCACGAGCGACACAACTCGGTTTTGTAGAGTTTTGGATTTTTTGGCGGTGGAACTGCTCCATTCGGAGTGGCCAACGGTGTGTGCTGTGGTGTTGAGAATGGCGACGAGTTGCCAATCAGATTGTGTCCGATCGACATTTGATGTTGGGAGCCTGGAAGACTTTAAAATGAATTTAGAATATTGGGAATAGAAACACATGATACTTAAAAAAAAGGATTGGTTGGAATGCGAACAAATGAAGACGATGGGCAGTGCTCCTCCTTCACTAAATTCGATTTGCTTCGTTCTTTCCGGTGGGACACAAAGAAAAAGAAGAAGGAATAACTATTTGTTTTTAGAAGTCGAGAGCATCAAGGATAGAGATACAAAGGGCGCGGAATGTGTAGAGAAATGGAAACGGGAGAAGGGGGCGGAGCATAGTGGTACAAACGGAAATTGGAAGACTTCTTCTCTAACGTGTGATCATCTGTTGATACCATCTAACTAGATAGCAATACGAAATGAATGAGAGGAAGACGTAGTATGGTTACTTTTTAAGAAAAAAAGAACGAGAAAAGGCAAAAGTCAACCCAACAAAAAATGAAGGTTCCTTCTTCTTTCTATAAATTTTGTTTATGACGGATGGGAACACCAAAAAAAAGAAGTCAAAACTTTTTTCGTTTTCCTCTTCCTGATCCTCTAACGTCTTCGGCATCTTCTACTTGTTTATGAACGCGTGCTCAGTTGGGGTCCCCAAGACATCATAAGAAGAAAAAGGGGGGGGGGGGGCAACAAGTGACACCATTAATAAAAATATACATAACAAATTGGGATGTTGCCGCACAGAGAAACCTCCTCAAAAGTTTCGTTACTCTAGAAATAGAGAGAGAGCAAAAGTTCAGTATTAACTCCTCCAAAACTCCAACTCCAAAAATATTGTGTTGAACTTTCTCTCTCATGACTCCAAGAAGATACTTCGACATGAATGCGTATCTTATGCATATTTAGAGCTAATAGGGTCCCGAAGTGAACAATGCGAAAAAAGAAGAAGAAAGAAGTAGTAGTAGCGTATGTGCTGAGTCTTGTACTAAAAGTTCAGAAGGATACGACATATCGAAGAAGGGCATGACAAGGGCACAAGGATTAGGGATGAATTTGAGAAAGGATATGGAAGTTAATGGATTTCGGAGGATATTCAAATTAGGTGTCCGGGTCGAGCTAACAAATTCAAAGTATATCTTGAATCCAGGCCCAGAAACTATTGGTAAACACCTCCTGATTTTGGTGGGCACCTCGTGATATATTGAAAGAAGAGCGAATTGTAAAGTGGTCCCCCTTGTGATTTGAATAATTGAAAAGAGGACATAAGGATCTTAATTTGATTTTTTACCTACTGATTTTCCGCCCACAAAATTTTCAGTTTCTGGGACTGAATACTAAAACGAATAACCAGAAGATGAAATAAGCCAGACATATGGAGGTAAATAAAACTCGGAGTCTGAATTTCGGACCAATCAACACAGAAGCAAAAATAAATCACTCTCCGATGGAACAATCGGCCACCTGCCTTCTACGATATGAAAACCAGGACAGGAGAAGAAGTTGAATGAGCAGCAGTTAGGAAGTGATGTCAAAAGTAATCCGCTTGCTTTGGTCCGAAAAAGAAAATCCCAACACAAAATTCGTTTGTCGAATTATTAAACTGCGTCATACGACGACTGTCGGCCCTAGAGGGTGGTTAGGAGAAAAATATGTTCGAGAAGTAGAAATAAGAAGAAGAAGAGTTTTTGAAAAATTGGATGTGAATTGGAGGATAACTCTATCTTTTTTCGGGAGAAAGAAGGGTTAGATTCTGAATACGAGAAAATAATAAAAACCTCTTCAATCGGCGCATCTCAGAAGAAGAAATGGAGAGAAGGAAACAAGAGACAGACAAAAACAAAAAAAGACATACCGATTGGTGTTCCAGGAGCTCCAAGTGGATTCCCGTATTCAGAATTTCCGAAGAGAGAACTGGCGGCGGCAAACGATGTAGGCCTCTGAGTAGTTGCTGATTGTTGCCTGCAAAGAAAAGAAGAAAAGTACATTTGAACTGTTAGAGGGCATGATTCTCTTTTTTACGTTTTTGAAGATTACACTTTCGATTTTTACACAAGAACCTGACTTCCGGGGCAATGAATCAGTTGGATAATTAATTGACAATTTTAAAAAACTGGTATACTCACCTATCCATCTGTTTGACAGACTGTCCGGTCAGGTGAGCCAGCGCGTTTGCGAAGTCAGCTTGACTGTTGTGTAAGCCGAACGGCTCCAGAAGCGACTCGAGAGTTGAAGAAGCTGTAGTTGGCGATGATTCTGGCGAAGACGAGTTCAGCCCGAATCCGTTGATGTTACTGTTGAGGCCAACACCGTTCTCGGTGCTGTAGAGACTCTGAAATATGTGAAACTGAATTAGGACACCAAAATAAGAGGCTTCAATTTCTTTTTGAGATTTTTATGTCATTTCTGATGAAACGAACTAAAATTTGGAAAGAGAAAAGAAGCAGGAAAAATTCAGAAGAATTCACTTTTAAAAAGTGACTTTTCGTTTTTCTTTTCGTCTACATTGATAAAAACGGCAACTTTTTTCTGTTCTTATCATCACTGTAACAAAAGAAGCAGAGCATGGAAAACCAGCTGACACGACAAGAGAGCCTCAATTATCAGAGAAAAGTGACTTTCGGAGCAAGTTGAGAGCTCGCCGAGCCCATTATTCCTGATTAATATGGACCCAGCGGAAGAGGAAAGTGGGGGACACAGAAGAAGCAAATGTTGCTATTTTGAACTCTGCGTCTCTTCGTCTTACAAACACTTTACGATACACTGACTTCACAGCTGAGATTTTACGATGTACTTTTTCGACAACTCAGTTTCTCTAAGATTCTGGAAGCTCATAAAACGAAAGCAGACGACGATTACATCGCAAGTAACCGAAAAGGGAGTGAGCGAACACAATGAGAGGTGTTCGTTAGTTTCATCGTTTTGTTTTGGTATTTACAGATGAAAAGAATGACACTGGGAAGTAGTGAAATGAAAGGAAAAACAACACACACTTTGAACAGCAGAGCATGTTTTTGTTGTTTTAGGATGAAAAAGGGGGGCGCTGACTATCGGAGGAAAGCAAAAGAGCTGTATTCTAGTACCACTAGAACGTGAGGATCAGATTACCAGGAGAGTGAAGCAAAAGAGCAATGTCTGGAATAAGGCTATTAGGGGTCCTAATTCTGGTGGTCAATTCTGGGAAATTAAAAGTCACGATGGCATTTTCCAAGGCATTTTCCAACTCGTCCAGATCGAAATTGTAAATCTACCGTAAAACCAGTAATAGAGGCGCTATCACACTGTCATATTTGAGCTAATTTATCTCGGTTCCCGTGAAAGATATCAAAACTGTGTCAACTGAAAAAAACAGTTCTGATATAGTGTTGAACAACTTATCAGTTGAATGCATTTTTATATCTTTGACAGGATCCGAGAAAATTTGGCTCAAAGAGCAAGTATGCCCTTCTACTAGAGTGTTTACGGTATTTACAGATCTATTTTTTAATTCTAAAATATGTTCATTAGTACTATGTACAATTTATTGGACAAGTTCTAGTTCGTTGTTTGGGGGAAAAAAGAAGAAACAGAAGAAGCAAAAGAGTCTTTCCTCGGAAAATCGAGAGAGCACCTTCTGGTTCCGACCAACAGCTGACTCCAAACGCCTGAGCCGCTGCTCTAGGGCTCCTCGTCTTCAAAGTACTGGATGAGCACTGGGAAAGAAAGAATTTACAAATTTTTCGACTGGAGGAGGTCCCGCGTTATTGTTAGTAGTCAGACCGACCGGCCAGACAGATTCTATCAGGTTTCATTTCATGGTTTTTTGATCGTTTTGATTCTCATTTCATACCTTCATGCCAATTTTTTCTCATGTGACAGACAGAGAAAAAGAACTGATCGAGAGAGACGAAGATGGAAAAGGCACTATTTGGTGATAATGTAATCAGCTGCCTTTTTACTTTCGAGAACAAAGAGACATACACGGTCAATCCGTTTTTGTTGATAAGAGTTGAAAAGCAAAAGGAGACTGTGATAAGACCACTTTTCTTTTTGCGGCGCGAAATTTTAGTTGATTTGAACGATTTCAAAAAACCAAAGTCTCTGATAACAAAGTAACCTTTTTGACGTCAGACGATGATGCGTAGGAACGGGAGCAACGAGTTCCGAGAAAGAGAAGGAACGATTGGGGCACTGTTCAAACAACTTGAAACAATTGGCAGTAGGGGGAGAAGAAATGCGCGAAATGAGGAGCACTGAGGAGAAAGATAGAAACCGATAGGGAGGGGGTGGAAAAGAAGAAGAAGATCCTTCTCCAAAAGTCAAGAAGGATCCCACGAAGATTAAGATTGAGACCTACTGACTGTGGAAGAAGGTGGAAGAGTCTCTTTTCTTTAGAGTTTCATTTTTCCAGAATTCTTTCAGGCGCTCCTCTATCGTCAAACAACCACTATTGTTGAGTTGTTTTGTTGTCTTGTTGTTCTTTTCCTATCCATATTCTCTCTTTTCAGACTCTTTTCAGTGTTACTCACAATCACTTTCCCTTCTTTTTCTTGCCTTTGCTTTTTTGGCAAATACAAAAAAATAAACAATATTGAAAAGAGGTTGACTTTGCCACTGCAGGGAAAGGAAAACTAAAAATAGAGAGATCCGAAAAAGCAACTACTTGGTTATGGAATTCGTTGAAATCGAGCACCCAATGACACCAGACCAATTCACGGGACACAGAGAGGGGAGAAGCATCGGATTTCACCTTTTCCCCTCATTACAGCCCAATCAAACACTTCCAGTTCTTCGTTTTGTTGACTTTCATTCGATTTCAGAAAGAAAAGATAGAGATCGATCAATATTGTTATAGACATCAATCAATCCATTTTCTTCTTCTTCCTTCTCGCGTTGTCGTGTTTTTGTTTTCTTTTTCAAGTCACACGGGCATCCTCTCGGCGATCGTCTTCTTGTCAAAAGTGATGGAACAAAGTTGTTGTGTTGATTCAGATTTGAGGCTCTTCTTATCTTCTCATCAATTCAAGTTAAACTACTTCTTCAACAACCCGTTCAATTCGTCACTCTCGATGTGGAATCTTGATGGGTTCATTTCAGTGAACAGGTTCTCTTTCAATACTGTCACTTTCTTCTCCTTCTTTTCAAAATGATTCGGAAACGACGACGACGATTCTCGATGTACCTTCTGTTGCTGGCGCCAGCGCCATAGAGAGAGGTGAAAACCCAATCAAAAACTTTCATCTGCTTTCTCTTTCACTTTCGATTGCGCAAAGATGGTGATGCCTGACGATTGCGCGCGCATCGACCGTTCACGGCCAGGAAAACCGGTCTCCCGGGGTCTTTCTTCATTTTTTTGTGTTGCTTTTCAGCCCCGATGTGCCATCATCATCATCATCGTCGTCAAAAGGCATCGTCGGGGTATTGCCACCACAACGGAATCAGACTGACTCACAAGGAAAAAAGGAGAAAGTATGGGACGAGACAGACACATCATCACAAATGTCAGCCAATTCGATCTACTAATTCTAAATGGAACCGCTGTAAATTCTATTGCCTCTGTACATTGTTTTACTAGTTGGTTTTTCCTCGTATTATATGCATGTTCAAATTTGATTTCTTTGAATACTATTTTTTTAAATGTTTCAATGAAACTGAAAACCCACCTTGAGAAATGATAGGTGATAGTTGTCTAACGACATTGTGGTGTGATTTCAGAATGGTTGGTTCAGAAAAGAATTGAAAGTTTAGAAAGGTTACTGTACAAAAAAAGCAGTACAGTATACCTTTACTTTCTTTGGGTTCAGAGGTGAAGAGGACACGACATCTGGTTGGAAGACCCCAAGAAAAGGGAGAATTGGTAGGAAGTGGGAGGGCGGGTCCTTCTTCTGCCTGTCTTCTGATTCTCTCACTCTCACGCGGGAGGAGTCGAATTGAACAAAAAAATGGATGGGAAAAGAGAAATAGTGTATGAGACGAAGAGATTGAGAGATTGAGAAAACTTTCAAGTCAAAGTCAAACATACACAACCAACACACACAGATGCTTTTTGTTGTCTTCTTTCTATCTCTGTACTCCCTTTCTATCCCACAGTCATCACCGACATTGCCACCTGAAGAAGTTTAAGAATACGGTAGACAAAGAGACGGCAGAGATACAGATTCTCGCAAAACACATGGGCGGCATCAACCGACGTGACGGGCGCCCTCGCCGTCGCTCACTTTTCTCTCTTGAGTTGATACAGTGTGGTAATTACACGAGGCGCGTGAGAGAGAGAGAGAGAGTGAGAGTGAAAAAACAGAAAATAGGAGAAATGCCACAGGCGCCCGCCGCCACTGCTATTCCCTCGGAGCCAGATAGTGTGAGCGAGACTGAAGATCCGAAGGATTCCTCTCGTTTCTTGGGAAGCCCGGGACCCATGGGTGAGGACATGGTGATGAGCATAGGAAAAAGAAGGAGAAGCTCATACTAACACATGCCTATCGCACAGAACAGCTGGTCGTATGATCTGCCGGGGAAGAGGAAACGAAATATTATCAGAGTCGAAGAGAGCACAGACGACTGTCTACGTGAATCTAATGTCAGAGGCTGATAGACGAGACTCAAAAAATCATGGAAGATCGTGGATCAGGAAGCTGAGGTGACAGGGATCCTGGATCGAGTCAATTTTGAGTTCAGATCATTTGGGTTCTAAAATAATCACTTTTTTCAAGGGACCGTTGGCAAGTTTCAGAATTCATGGTTACAGTAATCTGGATTCTAGCACTATATTTCTCAAACTGTCATTCCTTAAATTCTTGAAGCGAATCACTTTCAATTGCTGCCAACAGACGAGAAGAAGATGACCCTCAGACTAACCTTGAAATGCGCAGAAATTCTCGACTTTCACTTTTTCGATTTTTTTTCTCAATCGGAAGTTTCAACACAAACAACCAGACCCAACAACGACGATTGTCAACGTCGTCAGCTGACTGACCAGACCTGGGGTTGGCAGGTGTCTCTACAGTACTCTTTACTCGCTAACCTTTTGTGTGTGTGTTTATGTGTTTGGGAGAAGAACGTACGACGTGAAAGTGAAAGGCTGAAAAGAAAAACAAGAGGAAAAGGAAGAAACAACACTAGTGAGAGGGGGGTCTTTTCGAATTAAAAAAATATTTAAGAAATTGGGGAAAAGAAGTAAGCAGTTGTCAAAGAAAAAAGTGCACATGTGAAAAATGCAAAAATGTGCTCGTTTCGTTCCCTGACCAGTCTCTCTATCCATGCCTTCCGCGCGGAAGAGACTGTGCGTCCGGAAAACGAGCACAGAAGCAGAGAAACGGGAGAGTCGCAATGGCAAAAAGCACTCACGACAAAAGTTTTGTGCTCTTCCCGAAAAAAAAACAGATGTAGAGAGACTTTGACAGACAAAGATTGCCAACAATGACCGTTTATTGATTGTGTAGCCAATGGCAATTCACTGATCATTGGGAACATGCTCCGGTAGACTTTGAGCATCTCAAATATAACCTCGGTGAACTGCAGAAATTCCCATTGTTGGGAATTAATATTCTACAGTAACCGCTGTGATTCACAGCGTGTGAATCTAGTCAGAATGTTCCAGTGATCGGAAGATCTCTAGTTGTTTGACAGAATAATACGGAGGCTACTTAGACGGTCTAGACTCTAGAGCAAAGATTAGCAACCAGCACCATTTCTATGAAGACCTTGATTACTGTAAAACCTGCCATAAAAAGGTCCACTCAGGCTCTGGCACGATTGGTAAAGACCTGCTGATATTTACAAGGGCCTACTGATATTGTGCAATAAACAAAGTGCGAGCGAAGCGAGCAAAAAAGTTTTTGAGGGAAATTTTTTTAAGGTAAGGGGACCCTTATGTGATTTGGACCTACTGATATTTTTGGAATTTTACCTACTGATATTTCGGTCGCGAAATTTTCAGTGCCGGGGCCTGAGGTCCACTAACTTTAAACTTTGAGCTTAATTATCTTGGTTGCTTTGAGATATATCAGAAATCTGTCTGTGAACTGATAAATTATTCATCATAATATCAGCAATGCTTTATCAGTTGATAGCTTTTTGATATCCTTCGCAGGAATCGAGATATATGATCTCAAAATTTACGTTTTGACGAGCTTGTATTAAAGAAAATACTGTATGTTCTCTACGATGTAGCAATTGGATGAGCTCCCTCTAGATCTACTGAGATCGTTAGAAAATCATAAAAAAAAGAAATCAGATGTTTCTGGCTGTTTTCAAAGACTGCAAAGAACATCTGAAGAAGATCATGTGTGTGCAGAGCAAAGCTTAGAAATCGGAACACATTTTTCGGACTTCCAAATGATTGTTATTTTGTGTTCTTCTGGTTTGATCTTCCGATTGAATCTAATCCTCGGGGACTTCCGATGCTCCTCCGCTTTTGCGCGGCCGATGCCATTCGACAGTTTGTTTGCGCGTTACATGGCAGTTGCCACCGAGACGCTCCAGACAAACTCTTCTGGGATTGTGGGAGGTGAGCGCAGGGCGCGCTTCTCGGCGCCAAAAAAGAGTGACATAGATCAAGAGAGTTAGGTCGATAAATATTGACACGCTTTTTTCTTCACACCGTTTCGGCGTGCACGTATATGCCCTCTAGAATGTTTGTGAAGGTTTCAGTTTGGAATAGGATCAAAGTGGAAGAGTCGCGCGGGGAAAAACTCAGGGTAGCAGACTGTTGAGGGAACTTGAGAGTAAAAGCAGGGCAAAAAGGCGAACAAGGAATCCTGAACAAAACTCTGTACGCTTCAACGATTTGTCGGAAATTGGAGGCGTCGCCACAACACCGGTAGTGGTGGTGGTGTACTTATTATCCGCTCTGGTATAAGTGTCTAAATGTATATGTGGATGTTATTTGTATGCATATTTAGTGCAATAACTGGTAGGGGCGCCAAACGGAATTACTTCTCCAACGATGGATTGAAGATGCTGATGGTTTTATGATCTCTGAGTAAATTACGGTAGCTTAGCCATCATTCGAAATTTGAAACATATTGGATGAAGAATTTGCCGTTGTTACTTCAGTATCTTTCTCAAGAAACCTCCAAACCGAAGCACCCAGCGCCTGACTGTCTCTTATTCGCACATTTATCAACTGACAGTAGTTTCGGCGGATTCTATCATCGCCTAAAAATCCATTGTCTTTTTTCTTTCCCTCATTGTCGCCCCTCAGCTGGTGTTGAGATGAAAGATTTCAATTTGTCATCGGTTTTCCCTTTGTTCTTCAATGCCGTGGGATAGTAGGTTGTGTGTAACAAATCGGAGTTGCCGCCGAAGACGTCGTCCACCCATGTGGTGCCACATGATTCCGATTGACGCATAATGTGGTGCGATTGCACGTGCCAAGGGACAAAGCGAAGAACTGGGGGACCCACCAACAATAACAATAACAACAACTGGCCATTAGGAGACATAGGGAAAGAATGGGATACATTGGTGAAATAATTAATAGTTCTTTAATAGAAAGAAATAAGACTAGGTGGAAATTTCTAAATGAGATTCTACAAATTTGCATTTTGAACAATTTCAAATTCAGAAGACAAGTGGAAAAGCCAAAAGCTGCAAATGCACGAAATGTATATGAATTTCATTCTCAAATATTTCATGGTTCACTGAATTCAGAAGCAGACGAATGTAAGAGGTCACACGGTACAGGAGGAGGTGGAATATCTGAACTTAGGCTTACCTGGAACAATAACCCTGGTCGTTCGATGTAGTTGCTGCTGAAAGCGGTTGGCGGCGACCCGGAGGTTATACTGAAAATATTATTGTTCGGCAAGGGACCTTCGAACTCTCTTTTTCTCTTCCTCACCTGTTGTTAGTCGAATTTGAGAGTGCCGACGAGAGACCCGAGTCGAACAATGTCGTGTGCTGGCTCGACAAGCTGCCAAATTCGAACATGGTGATATTATCTGTAAAGAATTAAGCAGGTTTTTTAAAAAATTTGCCATTGAAAACTTACGTATTGGCAGCTGGTGGAACTGGGTAACGCACACTTATGAACTGTTCTTTCGGCCTTTCACGACTACTGAAACAGATAATTTTTGACAAAATTAAACTGGTGAGAGGGTAAAGACATAATCACAGAACGACACGTAACAGAAATAGAGATGGATACAGCGAAAGCTTTCAGCAAAAAATATTTATAATTTTCGATGAAATTTTGTTTGTTTTTGCAAAGAAGAACATTTCTGCACTTAAAATATCATTTTGAGCTTATTGTCCTTTTTTTATCAGATTTTTCATAATAAGTCGGAGATGGAATTGCAATTTTAGGGAATTCCTCAAAAATTCGCTTCGAGAGGAACCGTAGTTTTTCTTTAAAGGCGCAGTTGTGAACGGGAAGAGTGCAATGGTCTCGTAGCGAATTTACAATTTCAGAGATGAGCCTTTAAAGAAATATTACGGTTTCCCTTTGAGAAGATTATTCAAATTTGAGATATTTTGAACACTTTTTGAGATAATAGCGAACTTGACTAGAAAATAGAAAAATTGAGAATCAAAAAAAGTTTAAGCAAGTCATTGAAATAGTATCGAAACAAAGCCAACACTCGAATAATTGAACAATTGGGAAACGAAAATCGAGAACAGTTGTCAGATTTTTTGAAAAGCAAGACGCACTTGATCTTCTAACAAAGTTCAATAACAGCTGGAATCGTACTACGTACATACTGAAATTCCAGACATCGAATCCAATTTTCATTTTAGCGAAAACTTTCACTTTCTTTCGGACAGTTGTTAGACGCGGTCAAAGCTTAGTTAAGTGGAAAGCTGGCGAACGGAGTTCATTGAACAGATGCAAGTTACGATAAGCTGATCGAGTAAGAACATAGTTTGATCTTGATTACTGAATCAATCCAAGATCAAATCTATCAACGCAATCTTTAAAAGCTTAAAACACGTGATGCTTCAAAGAATACCGTAAAACCTCTAATAGAACGACACCCGGATCGTCCACTTTGAGCCTATATATCTCATTTTCTGCAAAAGATATCAAAAAGTGGCTAACTAGTAAAATGTTGCTGATATCCTGATAAACATTTTACTAGTTAACCACTTTTTGATACCTTTCAAAAGAAGTGAGATATATAGGCTCAAAGTGGACGTTCCGGGTGTCGTTCTATTAGAGGTTTTACGGTAACTCACTTTCTATCTCGAACGATCTTCTGACCTGGTTTATAGGCGTTTAAAGTAATAAAAAGAATCTTCAAAAAAGGAAAACTAGAATGGTGTATTCTGAAAACGACCTTTCTCGATGACAATTCCAATCGGCTCTCTAAAAGGACACAAAAGATGGGGGAAAAGAAGAGGGGGAAACGGGTTTCTGCGGTTGCATGAAGCATTGTATCAACTGCTGACAGACAATCATGTTGTAAACTCGAAACTAACACTTCCGCTCTGAAAAAATTGAGAAGAAGGGTACTCTTAGAACTTTTATAAAATATCAACAAACAGCAGTTCGTTCAGAAGAAGGATGGCAAGCGACTGATAAGCAAAGGCGCTCGGATTACGGTAATTTCTCACATGGATCTCAAATACATGGATACTTTAAAAAAGGAGATACATTTTTGTAGAGTCTTAAACTGTCCTTTCGTTCAGAATTTTCAAGCACATTGGAACGTTCAAAAACTAGAAAAAAAACACTCAAATAAAGTGTCACTCAAAGCATCAACTTCGATCTCAATTATCTTGAATGCTGGGAAAGTTATTAAAAATTTGTCGACTGATAAATTGTTTACACAATATCACCAATATTTTTTTGGTTGACATCATTTCGATATCTTTCACAGAAATCAAGATAAATAAGCTCAAATTTGAAAGTTAGGAGGCCCTTATTTTGCAGGTTTTACAGTGAGTTAGATTTTTCCTGATTCTAATAGTTGGTAAAAATCAAAAAATTCAAACCTAACTTTTCTTCAAAATGTGTTCGCTTATTTTTTTTACAAAAAGTCCTTCACTGTTTCAGAAGTTCCTCTAAAAATATTCCCCGTATTTCAATTATTAGAAGCCCAACCAAACCATCAACTTTGATCTAAGTGAGTCATATGAGAGGAAGTACGTATACGATAGGTTCAATTTTTTAGGACTTTTGATCATCTTTTATCTGAATAGTGGTAAGGAAAAAAGTTCATAGAGCGTTCGGTTATCTTTTTGTTAATCCCGAAACTTTAAAAAACTACCGTAACCCCTTAACTGATAATGGCCCTTCTTGTAATCCGTTTGACAATTTAAACAGAAATCAAGAAAAAAAGATAGATGATGTTTTCTCATGAGTAAGCTACAAATGAAAATCGTAGAAAAAATAAGCCAACCATCTTTTAAGACTCGTATGCCTACTGTAGATGATTGAGATCATTTTAGAAAAGAAAGATTGATAGAGAAGTGAGCTAAGAGATACTACTAGTTGTATACATCTGTACAAAGACTAGAAGAACACTATCGCGGTGTGGCGGTAAGCTTTACTAGTGAAAGAAGAAAGCGAGTGAAGGATGGAAGAAGGAGGAAGGATGGATTCCCCCCAAAAAAAACTGTTCGGAGTGTGCGGAAATCCGCTGAAAGTGCGCGGTGGGGGGAGGGGGAGAGGGCAAGCCGATAAGTGAAATCATCGATGGCAAATCGAAAGTGAACTTTCACGTATAAGCGCTTCTCTCCCCTCTTGCGCAAGGCTTCTTGTCTAACGTTTGCCCCTGTCTGCAGAGCGGAGGGCACTGCGCAGAGGGCGGAGACAACGTGGCGGTGCGTGAAAGAAAGAACCTGATTGGTATGGTTGGTGTACTACGAGAAATTGAGTGAGTGAGTGAGTCAAGAACACCTTTGAGGAAAATGAAAGACTGGTTAGCTTCGTCTCTCTCGCTTTTTTTCTTATTCTCGAGGTTAACAATAATTAGGGAGAGTGGCCAATGATGCTGAAAAAGGCAGCTGGCTGGGGTGTTTAGCATCAGAAGAATTCGAGAAGAAAGGAGGCGCTAGAAGGACACCTTTTATACTGGAAGTCAGAAAAGACGAAGAGTGTAGAGGAGGAGAGTTACACTCGAAACAAAAGAAGACCTAATTAAACTTTTCCCTTTCTTCTCACTTTCAGATATCATTAATCAAATGGATTGTGTCCAGTACCATCATTCACCTTTTCATTTGATGTGTTCCTTGTTCCTTTGAACCGATGGACGCGTGCTGTAAATTGTAGATACGTAAACTTATCTTGAATGATTGGAGGAGAAGAAGTATCACAAGATAGTCATGAACATTTTGCAAGGTTTTTTGAAAATTCTATATTTGGAACTAGTTGGTTTTTGTTTATTTTTCAGGTTTTGCAGGGTCCAAATTTTCTGAAACTCGTGAAAGGGCAATCGTAAAAGGCCTTCATATTTCATTAAAAATTAATGTATTTCATTGAAAAAGATTTCAAAAACTGCAAAATGATAAAAGTTTGATGGCAAAAACTTTATGAGTATTTTTGGATACATGTCTACAGGAATTGAGATAGCTGCATTCAATTTGGGTTAATTGTGTTCCGGCGTCAAAGCAGTTACAGAATTTTCTTTCAGTTATTAATTCCTTCATATCAAGCACTTGCACTTCAATAATCTCTGTTTCTATAAAAGATATCACAAATCTGTCAACTGATGAAATGATGATGGTATTGTGATAAACATTTTATCAGTTTATAAACTTTTGTTATCTTTCACAGCAAATGAAATTTATAAACTCAAAGGTGACGGTTTGGAGGGAAAATGGTGAGCTCATTTTTTCAGGACCTTCGAAATTATTTTATCTGAAGATTTGTGACAAATTACGGTCGAAAAGGTTCCTAGGGCATTTGATTATCTTTTGGTTTATCGCAAAACTTACCTTCAAAAAATACAGTAACCCCTTAGCTGACAATGATCCTTTTTTATTCGTTTAATAAACGATTTATACAGAAATCAGCAAAGCAGGAGTAGCTGAATTCTTTCTCGAATGTATATTATCTAAAGATTTATGAGGTATTATGGTTCAAAAAACGTTGTGTATTTTATGATCCCAATAGGTTTTCATGTTTTTTTTCGAAAAAAGTCACCATGGGGTCCCCCTTCGCATTTTTAGTTTCTCAGCTTTCGAATGATATTGGTTTCATCTGAAAGTACCACTCCCAAGTTCCCAAGTTAGCTTTTTTCCAGTGAATTCTATTCATTCGTTCAAGATTTTCAAAATCAATGTTACAATCAGTTATCTGCCCTTCCCACAGATCACCATCAAATATCGTTTTGCCGTACAGGTTTTTAGTTTGTATCAGTTTTTTTCCCCGTTCGCAGTTTTTTATCTTTTCCTCTCTCTTTTTTTCTCAATTTCTACCAGTTTCTGTTTCTACCGCAAGCGCACCGTGGCTCTTTTGCTCTTTTTGTATATGTGTGTGTGTGCCAACAAAAAAAACTTTCATAGAACTGGAGGTTTTTCTTTCCGCGCCTCCGCTCTCTGTCTGATTCACGTAGGCTTCCCCCAGGTACGGAAGGAAAAAACCACGTACGTGATGCATGGAAGAAGAGAAGGAACACTGTAGCTAAACAACAGCAAGGTTCAGAGAATCCTAGGCTTTATATAAATTTTGAAAAAATTGAGAAGAAGACGAGGTTCAAGTCTGATAATCAATGGAACATACTTTCAACTCCTCTAATTAATATTTGCTAGTTGTCATCTCAAATTCCAAATCTCGAATTTAATGATCCTTGCCATTTGAAACCAAATCAACAATTCGAATGGTTTTCTATCCTGTTCCTAACTTTGCTGAAACGTCTCGCCCTTTGATCCTGTCGCCTGCTCACTTGCCGCTAGACAAATCAAAGCAGGCTCGAACCTTGAGCACATGCTCATGGCAGACACCTATACAAACAAATTGATAGGTCGTTCTCATATGGTTTTTTTTTCTTCCCGTTGCGAGTCATACAAGAAAAAGTTGCACTTTTCAGAAATAAAAGTGGAAAATATGATCGTCTGATCAAAAATGGAATGAATATTCACATTCTTCAGAGAAACAATTATGGTAAAAGTGATCATAAATAAAATAACAAAATTGAATATGAGGTCAATCACTGTCACTGTCGGAAATCGCTTTCTTCTTTTTTGGTGAGCCATCGTCGGAAGACTCTCCGGAAGCACTGCTGCTGCTACCGCTTCGTGGTGGTTTTTCCCTGCGTGGCTTAGCGTCTTCAGAATCACTGCTTCGTGCAGAACTGTCCCCTAAAACTTGAAATATACAGATTTATTAAAATAGGAAAACCTTCTTACCGTCTTCCTTTTCTTCTTCCATTCTTTCCAGCCTCTCCTGTCTTCTATTCTTGGGTTGCTCGTATAGTTCGATTTCCCTTCTTCTCATAGCCTCGGTTTCTGTTTCATTGAACGGACGATATTGAATTGTCAACTTGGAATTTCTACTTAAGCACATCTTCCGTCTTCTTGTCATCTTGACGTTACTATCAATCTCATTGTATTGCATAGTAGGTCCTCGCTGATAAAACACAAATACGTCGCGATCTCTCGGTGGCACATGCTCCATTTTCCAGTCGTATTCACGACTCAACAAGAACTCGTACTTTTGATCCGGATCGAATGGGCGGTCCATTTCAAGATCCTCCATCATATGGGTGAGACCTTCAATAGTAGGCACGAAGAGAGCAGCAAACTTTTTGTCTTCATACTCCATTCCCTTGATAACACTACTTTCTTGCGCCTGTCTCTTCTCGTCTTCTCCGAACTCTGTTGTTATCGTGTCACCATCGAATTGGACATGCGTGAACAAATACTTCCAGTGCTCGAAATCTGGGAATATGTAGCACTCCTCTACTGGCTTCATGTTCTTCTTTGTATGATGTGCTGTGACCGGTTTGCGAACCTAAAAAATACTCAAACATCATAATACCTTTTTTTCCTAAAACATACATCTTCAAATGTCTTATTGATCGCATCAATTTGGCTCTGCTTGTCACGATACATGTCCTCAACTTGTTGATTTTTCTTCAGATTGTATCCTAGTTTAGTTTCCTGTCGGTCAGCCGTTACTCCGAACCGATTGAACTCTGTTGAAATATACTCCGTCTTTCTCATCCATGGGACAAGTTTCGAGTGCTGCGCTGATCTCTTAATACTCATCTTTGAAGCGCTTTCATCTTCAAGCAGTATATTATCTTTCTCGTCCATGGCCTGAAAATAGGAACACATTTTTCCATCATCGAATTTCTTTTTTACATAGTCAGCTGGATCTTCGTCGTATTTTCTCAAATCGATCAAGTCTACGCTCAATCCCATATCGTCGTCACAAATGATTGCATGTTTGCAGTCTCGATCGACTGTCGATGGCTTATATTCGACGAATCTAGAAAAATAACGTTTTAAAAATTCAAATTGATTGATATACCTGCTGAGAGGAACGAATGGGCATGGCATAAACTTTGCATCAAACGGAACATCAGGGACGTTGTTTGTAAACCGTGGTTTGAGCATAAAATCGACCTTCCGCCTGGAAAACATCCTCTATCGTAAATTGAAATTAACTTTGATTTTCTTACGGTGGTTCGATCCGTTTTGCATCTGTTGAGTTTTGTGACATTTTCTTAGAGCTGAAATATACATGTTTTGAAGAAAAATAGAAAAATAAGCAATTGAACTGAAAAAAAAAGGATAAATTCAAACTTTGAATTTCAAAGTCGCCATTGCACGAGGATTGCGCTAACGTTGAAATTTGTGTCAAGAGAATCGCTTGGCGCATCGCGAGTTTTGCGCGCGCATTCAAATATTACACAGTAAAAAATGGCCAAAGGTCCCACAACGACAACTACAGTGACCTAAAAATACGATTAATTTCAGGGTTTATTTTCTCGTTTTTTTCTGGTCTTAGTCGATTGTGTCGGAAAAAGAACATTTTTGGCAATAAAATTGACCGGAAACGCACGAAAATTGAGATAGAAAACTCAGAAATTTTAACAATTTTTAGGCTACCATATTTGTCGCTGTGAGGCATACAGCCGCGGCTTTCTTCCACAGCTCCAAATTTTTTTTAATCAGAATAATTCTAACCAGTTGATTTCCGCCGCCTGTCGGCGGCTACAATCTCCTGGCTTCACTAAAAACGTTTGCATCTCCGAATCGGAGAGAATCAGAAGACGAAGTTTTAGTTGATTGTGTTGTCAACTTTCATAAACTGGAGTGACGGTCTGCTTATGCGCCTTCGGGGCTAAACCTTCTGGCTCCCGCTTCCAACACCCTTAACCGATAAAGTTTGGGCTTGGACAGATAAATCAGAAATGTAGATCAGAAATGTGTCTTACATTAGTTCAGACACGAACTGTTCAAAATTTCCAAATTTTTAGAACTAATAATTTTTCTGAATTCCCGAATATCTTGAAATTTGACAACTTATAATTTTTTCAGAAGTTTCGAAATTCAGGAGTCCTGAATTTTCGGAACTGCGATTCTAGAACTCAAAGATTATTTTGTATTATGCGATTCTAGAACTCATAGATTATTTTGTATTTTCGAGTTTCCGTATTTCCTACTTTCTGAGATTCTACTTCACAAATTCCCAAAATTTTATCACGAATCAGATTTTCAGAATTTTCTCTAAACACACAATCCTGAGTTTTTGATTCACAAAATTTATGAATTTCCGAATTTTCTAAATTCCGAACTTGGGCTTTCTGATATGGATTTTCTGGTTTTTTGCTTTCGAGATTTTGGATTTTCAAAATTTCGAGTGTTCTAACTTTCAAATTGTTTAATTTCGTAATATTCCGAATATCTGAATTTTTATACTTCTGAATTTCCGAAACTTTGGACATTTCCAACTTCAAACTTTCCGAAGTTTCAAATCTCGGTATGTTCGAGTTCCCGTTTTTCCAATTTTCCAAATTTCTGAATTAGAATTTTAGAATTTCAGAGTGAAACGAAAATGTTTGAAGCATAAGAAAGGTTAGAAATTTCGCATTTTCGGAAAAATTAATCAAATTTCATGAATCAGAATCTCCGAAATTCAGTTTTTGAGATGTTAGAGGATTCAGAAAGTCAGAATTTTAAATTTTACTGAACTTTTTCTTTCTCGAAATAGAAGAACGGATCCAGAAGGCGTCAAACTCAAAATTTCGAAACATAAAATAGACGGGCATCATCTCGCTGCTATTTCGGATCATCTGTGAAAATTTGAAAATTTTCGGTCTACTGGGGACTTCGCTAGGGTCGTGGAACCGGGAACAAACGGACACACAGACAGAATTTGGTGATTGTTAATAGTGAAGATAATGTTATTCATGCGTTTTTTGAAGGAATATAATACTATAACTGTTAGATATCATGATCTCGATATATTTAAACGGAACTGGTCGTTTATATCAAGTCCAAAAATATAAACTCAACCTAAATACATTTATTTATTTTCCCGACTGGTCGAAAATTTGTGTCATCGATCTGAAGGCCACGTTGTTTATTTTATAACGAGACGCAAGGAATCATCAGTGATAAGAAAATATATGTCATTCATCACCTTTTTATTTCGGAAATTCAATAATGTCCCCAAAAACTGTTGTTGTTACTGGCTCTAATAGAGGATTAGGGTTTGGTCTTGTTCAGCAATTTTTGAACGATCCACTCGTAGAACATGTGATTGCAACTGCCAGAGATGTTGATAGTGCAACAGTAGGTTTGAAATTCTAAAATCAAAGTTCCTCAAAATCATTTACAGGATCTGAAATCCATCTCTGATCAACGTCTTCACATTCTTCCTCTATCATTGGGATGTGATGAATCGATTGCTGCTTTCACTAAAAAAGTGTATGAAATCGTTGGAGATTCTGGATTGACTCTTCTTGTCAATAATGCTGCCGTCATGCTTCCATATGTAACAAAACAAAAACCAGATCGAAAAGTTGTGAATGATTTATTTGAAACCAACACGATTGGACCAATGATTCTAACGCAATCTCTTGTTCCATTAATCATTAAAGCCTCAAATCTCCAAAATGACGCTTCGCTGTCGATTTCTCGTGCTGCTATTATCAATATTGCTTCTGAATTCCTGGGATCCATCTCAGATAACACTTCTGGGTCTGGAGAGTACAAAGCAATGGCATATCGAATGACAAAATGTGCAGTCAATCAGTTTACCAAAACTCTTTCGATCGATTTGAAAGATGATCATATTTTGACGGCTGGAATTTGCCCAGGAAAGGTTCAAACTGGAATGAGCAAAGGAAAAGGAGAATTCACTGTAAGGACCTTGATTTCTTTTTGTGAAAATTAGAACCCATTAAAAATTAGAGCTTTTCAGATTGAGCAGGCGTCTTCAAATCTCGTCGAAGCGTTCAAAAAACTTGGTAAAGAGCACAATGGAGGATATTTCAGAAGAGATCTTTCAGTCATCCCGTATTAAGTCCAATTTTCAATAAATTATTGTTCTATAAATTATTAACTGGACTACAAAAAAACCTATTTTCGTATGATTCCGTAAAAAGATCATCTGTTATGATAGTATACGAAATATAAAAACTTGGTAAAGAGCACAATGGACATTCGTCTCTTCGACTGTCATTTAGCTATTCTTCACCAACTGTGCTTCAGAATTGTGAAGATTCCCAGGACTTTCATTCTGTGAAAATTTTATAAGTAATTTTTTGCTAAATTTTCTATTCTGCAGAAATTCGGTACCCCACAGAAGTCATAACCAGTCAGCTCACATCGACTGCAATTTAGCAGTCGTTGAAAGGAAAATTACCTAACTTCTATCATGTTTCTAAAATCTAGTAGAAGAATATAATAATGTTACTCTGGTTGATTTCGAAAAATAAAAACTTTCGAATAAGTTTTCCAAGAGGTCGATTGTCCGTCGATAGTCTGTCGATGACCCGTCGGTCGTCCTTCGGCTGCACATAGCAGTAATTTGATGGTTTGTGCCTCTTCAGCATCTGCTGGCGTTTTTGATTTAGAAAAAATTATTTTCCAACTTGTTTGAAAGTTTTCAACACAGAAATTGTCGAAAAGAATTATTAACCGTACAACTGTCTTTACACCGTACAACTGTCTATTAACCGTACAACAAGCTTTCCATCTCCGGCGAATTTTAAACGCCCCACCCGCCCGGGTGTGGCGCCCGGCCGTCGCCCTATATTTTGAAACGCCCGAATTAAATTTCATTTATTCTTTTGCGTCAAAAAATATCTCAAAAAGTGCGGTGCGCGTTTAATCAGCGAGACATAATTTTGTTGGACCACGAAACCGGGCGTGTCGGGCGGGTGTAGGGCGGCCCGTTACCCTGTCGGGTGACGGGCGTTTTCGGGCGGCCATTTTCACCTAAATGAAGTTGCAACACGTTTGAGAGCAAAATTTTAATTCTAAGATACGAAATATACAACTTACTAAAAATTTGTACCCCCGAATCATTTATTTTGCAAAAACAATGATTTCGCCAAATATTTTGTACCCCTCAATCACTTTGTATCCCTTGTACCCCAAAATCGCTGTATCCACCAAATTTTTTGCCCATTTTCGTTGTACTAGAATAATGGCGATTATGTGATTCATTGAATTCATTTTGATTCTGAATTCAAGAACACTTTTTTAGTGCAGTGCGTTGCAGGTTCTTACGTCCATACATGTTTAACGTCATAACTTCAGAGCTGTTAGAGGTATCGGCCTAATTTTTTGAAAATCGGATTGGAGACAACAAACTAAATCTAGTGGACAATTATCTGGAAAAGTCTGAAAATAGCCCTTTGCAACCGTCGCAAGTTTATACTTCCACTCCAAAGATCAGTAGATCGCGACCTCCAGCAAAGGCGGAGGTGTCCAATTTTGATTCTTCCTTCTTGGAAACGGGCTTGGAAAAGAGAAAAATGAAATGGAAGATATTAAAAAAAAGATTTATTGAAAATAATTTCAAATATAGATTTTTTTTTCCTGAAATTCCTGAACATATCAACAAAAATTATGAAAAATTACAAGTTTCAAAAGTGTACTGATTAGCCAGACTTTCGTCTGTTGATCCCTTTCGCCACGTAGAGGCTCAGTACATGAGGGAAATCGAAGTTTTAAGTCCATGGAAAACATGGAAAAATTGACAGCTTTGGACGCGATTTCCAGTTCCTGGAGGCTACTTTGAACGCGGCATTAGCCAGACTTTTGTCTGTTGATCCCTTTCGCCACGTAGAGGCTCAGTACATGAAAGGGAAAATGGGTTTTCACTGGGGGAAAACACCAACACAAAACCCCCGTCTCCTAGGAGACAGTTTTCTAATTTTCAATAGTTCTTTTTCTCTCCTAAAAAGATATACGGTCGCTATTTATTGTTTTTGTTCATTTTGTTTCTTTTTTCTTTGATTGGGTCTTTTGCAAAATGGGGACGTTCAGTGAAAATGAATTCACCTAGCCATGAACCACCAAACATGGCGACTCTTAGGGTCTTTTATAACTTTTTTCGCATCCGACCACCAATCGAAAGAAAAAAGCAAATGAAACAATAAACAGCTTATGCAGGGAGCTTCATGGCAGTCAAAAAGTGCTAGTGAAAATTATCAAACTAATTCAAAAAGTGGGATTCCCCAAAGGATTATTTTTTTTCAATACGTGGAATTTGTTCAACGTGGACAGAGGTAGGAGCGAGTTTTATTGGGTAACGTGTGAAAGGTTTAAAAAACTCGAAAATTTAATGAAGATTTACGTAACCTATTAAAAAAGTGACAAACTAAGGGCGAACGAGTAAGAACTAGGTTGAATCGCGCCGAAGACGCACCATCTGTTGTTTTATTTATTGGGTAACTATCTCGGTTCCTATAAATGATACTCGAAATTTGTCAACTAATAAAATTTTAGTGGTATAAACGGTGATAATTTTGTCTGATGCTTTTTTAGAATGAAAAACATATTTTGGTAGATCATGTTAAACTTTAACACCTTCCCCCAGTTGGATCCGATGACTTTTGAAAGAAGTTGAGACAACGTATTTTGTAATCGTCGGTAGGTATCTTGAGGGCAGGATTTGAGCTGATCCTGTTTTTTTTTGTTTTTCGGATGAGAAAATAGTCGATATGGCAATGTGAATGATTTCGTTGCTTTCTAATAGCTTATTGGTCCATCCAGCTACTCCAACTGCCCCGATTGAAGCTTTTCCAGCATCAGTAAGCAAAAGATCCCATGAAATGATACAAACTCAAAGAAAGAGAAACACGTAATGAAAACAACTATTTACAATGATTTTAGTTGTACATAATCAAAATTAGACACCTCCTTCTTCGCTGGAGGTTGTGATCTACTGATATTTGGAGTGGACGTAAAAGCTTGTGACGGTTGCAAAAGGTATATTTTCAAACTTTTCCAGATAACTCGGGTAGTTTTCAATGTTTCTTTACAAAAATTGTCCACTAGATTTAATTTGTTGTCTCCAATCCGATTTTCAAAAAATTAGGCTGATACCTCTAACAGCTCGGAAGTTATGACGTTAAACATGTATGGACGTAAGAACCTGCTACACACTGTATTTCAAAATCGCCACCAAATGAATACTGGTATCGACTCTACCTTGTTTTGCTACCTTCCATAGTGTTGTCTCCATTCTGAAGAGATATGACTGTTTTTTGGCCATAACATCTTTATTACTGTTCTGTTGAAGGGCTCAAATTAAAAAGGCACGTAATTAAGTTTGTTCCTATTGGATGGTGACAATCCCTTTGTCACCCCATCCATTTTCTCATCCGTCCCATATTTTTGTGACTCTATTGAGTTTTGTGACTACAAACAAACCACAATGTGACTACAGTTTTCTGGGTCTCTTCAGTTGTTTATTCTCTAGGTTCTCTTCTTTCCTCTATGTCATCATTTCTTGGGGAAGACACTTTCCTCTCTCCCACTTTTCGACCCTTGGTCATTGAGGCAATCACGTATATATAGCAGCCATCCCTAGCCCAGTTCTCCAGTTATCGTTCAGAAAACATCAATTTTCAGTTTACTCTATTAACCATGTCACCAGGAAGTGTCGTAGTCACTGGAGCCAACAGAGGAATCGGCCTTGGACTAGTCCAACAACTGATTAAGGATAAGAACATTCGTCATATTATTGCTACTGCCAGAGATGTTGAGAAGGCTACAGTAAGTGGAATTCAATTTTTTACAGAAAAAGAAAACGAATTCTATTCAGGAATTGAACGCCATCAAAGATTCACGTCTTCATGTTCTTCCATTGGCAGTTACGTGTGACAAATCGATTGATACTTTTGTTTCAAAAGTTTCTGAAATTGTTGGATCAGATGGATTGAACCTCCTTGTGAACAATGCTGGAATTGCAGTCAAGTATGGGAGCAAATCGGTATGTTTCTTTGGAAATACCGTTAATTGAATGACCCCCAAACATCGAACTTCGAGCCTATATATCTCATTTACCGTAGCACATATCAAAAAGTGGTCAACTGGCGAAATGTTAATTATAACATCAACAATATTTTATTAGTCGGTTAATTTTCGATATCTTTCACAGAAACCAAGATAAATTAAATGCATAGTTGATTTAGAGCATTTACAGTATGTATTTGCCTATTTTGAATTAGTGATAAACGTTTTAGGAACCAAATCGTGCTAAGATTGCTGAACAACTTGATGTCAACACCACCAGCGTCGTCCTCATCAGCCAGAAGTTCCTTCCACTTCTTAAAACAGCTTCATCAAAAGTATCTGGTGATCAACTTTCGGTTTCTCGTGCTGCAGTTGTTACCATCTCTTCTGGCCTCGGATCGATTGCTGAGAATACAACTGGATCTGGAATGTTCGAGGGTTTGGCCTACAGAATGAGCAAGGCTGCAGTCAATATGTTCGCCAAAACATTTTCCATTGATATGAAAGATGAGCACATTCTGGCTGTCAACTTCTGTCCAGGATGGGTTCAAACTGATATGGGAGGCAAACAAGCTGCATTGACGGTGAGATTTCAAATATGCCGTCTTTTGACAATGTTATCAGTTTCAGGTTGAGCAATCCACGTCAGAGTTGGTGTGCAGTTTCAACCAACTGAATAATTCACACAACGGAGGATACTTCCATAGAAATCTCACTCCTTTCCAATTCTAAAGTTTTCTCAAATGTTGTACATTCGCCGGATTTTCAATAAAAATGTTCATTTAGCTTTTTTTAAGAATTTTTCATCACATGTCTCCTGTGGAGCAGGATTGTTCGGAATTTTTTTTTGATTTTTCGGAATATTCAGGTCGGTTTTCATTTCGAAAATGGTCGGAACTTTCGGAATTTAGTTCCTTGCTGTTGAGTTCTATTGATTTGTTGAAAGAAGGAGCAGCATAATTCAATTTTATTCGCAGTTCACAACAAATTGGAATAATCAACAAAATTGGCATAAATGTGGTGTGAAATATGAGAATGATATTTGTGTGGAATGAAAAAAAAAGATAAAATGAGTAGTGTAGATGGGCAAGCAATAGGGAATAACTGGTTAGACCACTCGTTTCGCAGCAACTGCTTGAAGAACAACTGGCTCGTTTTCTCTTAAAATAAATCACATAAAATATGTGCATTTGAAAATACCGTAAAACCTCTAATAGAACGACACCCGAATCGTCCACTTTGAGCCTATATATCTCACTTCTTTTGAAAGATATCAAAAAGTGGTTAACTAGTAAAACGTTTATCAGGATATCAGCAACATTTTACTAGTTAGCCACTTTTTGATATCTNTCACAGAAAATGAGATATATAGGCTCAAAGTGGNCGATCCGGGGGGTCGTTCTATTAGAGGTTTTACGGTAAGTATCTTACTTGGCAGCTGCTGCTTCGGCTTCCTTCTTTTTGGCCATCTGGACTTTGCGTACTTCGTAAAATTCGGCACAACTTTTGGTTCGAAGACGAGCAGTGGATCGTATCGTTGGCAGCTTACTGGCGTAGGTCTCTCCATCTTGAGTGATCTTCTTTGTGTATTCGCTTGCCTCTTCGTACCACGGAGAAATGATCTCACGAACTTCAATTGGGACGTCAGCGAGTGATGGGTACTTGCTGCATTCCATCATAACATCATGGAAAAGATCAGAGACTTCTTCAATGCGCATCGAAGAGAATGCAGATGATGAGAATGTGGAATGTGAAGAAGAACTGCTACTACTTGATGTCGCGATTTGTTCTGACGAGTTCTTCTGAAAAAGAAAGCAACTTTAGATTCAGTCAATCTCAGTCCCAACTACGAGTGGTAAACACCCCCTGATATTTTTTGAAAACTTGAAAAAGACGTAAGGGGGGACCCTTATGTAATATACACCTACTGATATTTTTTGAAAAATTGAGACAAAACACTAAAGGGGGGACCCTTATGAAAATTTTCACCCCCTGATATTTTTGGAAAAAATGCAAAAAGCACATAAGGGGGGACCCTTATATGATTTTTACACCCACTGATATTTCGTCGGCCAAATTTTCAGTATCAGGGCCTGAGTCAAACTATGTAAATTCTGAGAAGAAACCAATTATTACCATGTTTTTCTTCGTGATCACTTCAGCGAACAGTCGTTCATCGAAATCATCGCTTCCTAAGTCTTCCATCACAGGACTATACATTCCCCATGTACCATTTCTTGGAAAAACTCGGATGAAATCTCCACGTCTTCCTTCTTCCAACTCTACTTTTCTCACAATTTGATCGAACTTCTTCTCAGTATTTGGAATGAGAGAAGTGTTACCACTGACAATCTTCTTGGTGAGAACACTTCTCTTCAATCCGACAGGCCTTCGTTTCAGCGTTTTTGCACATTTTGGATCTAATTCCAACTCATCGGGATCTGATGTTTCGGAATCTTGCGATGCGTTCATCGATTTCCTCAAAGCCGGTGTCACACTGTCAATAATCTTTTTGTCTAGAAGTGGAACGCATGCGAGATTCAGGAGATCAGCGATGAGTCGTGTTTTCAAAAGAGAATCGAGTGGAGCGTCGCAAGCAAGACTAGGTGACAGGTTGACTTCCAGGAGCCATGGTTTGAGTGCTTGGTCGACCAGAACATCGAATCCGAACAGCTCAAAATTAGTGCAAGCGAATCGAAGTGTTGTCCTGCTAGCGGTAGCAACGGAATTTTGGATCGAGAGAAGACTCTTCACGATAAGATCCTCAATTCGGAGCATGAGCACTGAAAGTTATGATTAATTTGTCGCTTGATTGCTAGACTTACGCTTTGCATCTTTTCCTTCATTCTCTACATATCTTAACAATGCTCCGAGAGTCCATTTGTGTCCAAGATCTTCAGAAGACATACTTTCATTGCGGACAAATGATGTCGAGTTTTTATTGATACTGTAGTTAGTGAGATGAACATATTCGTTGCTATCTGCAGACGATGCTGATGTATCGTATGGTCGGGAAGCCAAACGAGCAAGTCCTTCTGAATAGACATACGCGACCAGTGGATAAAAAGAGGTGACAGCCACGTAGATACGGAGATCGAACTTGTGATTGTTGACGAGATATGGGTCTTTCAGATAACGAGATACGAGAAGAGGTCCTTCAGCTGGAATGTCTGCCATCTGAAAAATTCAAATTTTAGAATATTATCTACGGCTTTCGTCTTACACTGTTGGCAAAGAAGATTCCTTTTCCTTGTCTCGAATTCGTGGGTTTCACAATAAATTCTCCTGGGAAACACAACTCGCCACCAGCCGCAGTAACCTCCTTCAATACTCGATCGAATGCAATTTCCATTTTCTGATTCTCTCTTGGAGTGACATAAAACTCTGGTATCTAAAATAGAACTGATTTTTTCCAGAATCCAGAAATTAAACTCACGAAGTCGTAAGCCTCTCCGAAAATTGACTTGGATCTTTCTATGTTCTCATACAGACGATCTTTTTTCGTTAGCTCTGTTGATCTTGGGAACTGATTCAGTCTTTGCCATGGCATCAATTCTCGCATTTTGACACTTTTCACTGGAGCACCCATCCAAATGACATTGACCTGAGGATTTTTGCTGGAACACTGCATAAGTCCATGACTGTGACACATTGTTCGAATAAGACGGGAATCACTGCGCATCATTTTGAATGTGAGCCGAAGACGTTCGCCGAGCCACGTGTATTTCTCAGATGCTTTCGAATCAGAGGCAATATGGACGAGGGCGTCGGAAGAGAAGAGCATGTAGTCAGAGGTACGAATTTTCTTACATCGAGCCACTAAATATTCACTGGCTTCTTGCTCTTCGGACAATGATGGTTGAGGACTGAAATTGAAAATTAAACTAACCTTAATTTTTAAAAATTATACTTACCATCGTTCTGCCTCCTCTGCTGGTCTGATTGGAGCCATGATATTGATAACTTCCAAATCGGCACAGTACTCTTCTAGATAGTTATCCGGGCGCAGCTTCAGTCGTTTGCACAACAAAAAGCGTCCTTTCCTATTTCTATTAGTGAATGGATTATAGATTTCTCTGAAATATGGGAAATTCTGATGTTTTGAATGAAAATCTAATGGGGAGCATTGCATCTCACCTCGGCAAATTTTTGGGTTTCATTTTACAATATATTAGAAGAACCGAAAGTTATAACTATCATAAATACTAGATAGACAGAGTTGACCTACAGGCCCAAAATTGCCGAGATAGAATAGAATGCGTGGAGAGCGAAGAGGTAAAAAACGAATTTCGCAATTGATAAAGATACGGAAGTAGAAGTAGAAGATAGGTTGAAAGAAAAGAGATATTTCAACAATTTCGGCTCAAGGCCACACACTGCGCGTAATGGAAATGATCTATTTAGCGACAAACACAATACAAAAGTGCAAAGAAATTTTAAAAGTGCGCTGACTTGAGAAATTGTTAGACAAAATAAAAATTGTAGAACACTGAACGAATGTCTTGAATTGATTTCAGAGTGTCTTTGAAAGAAAAGATTCTTTCCGAGGTCAGGGGGTGTCTGGAAGTGAAAAGAAATATAGATAGCTATTTCGTATATAAAAAAAGCGGAAGAGATGACAGAGATTTCAAGATAAAAGAGACAGACAGATGTTACACCCCTCTGTCACTGCTCCCCCGCACTTTGCAGTCAGTTTTTGATGGGATTAGTGTGCACTTTGGAACGGGTATCGGAAAAAGATAAAAATATGAGAACATAACTCAAAAAGGGATTATGAAAGGATTTAAAAAAACGCCAGTGAACCATGGAAGGCAGAGAAAACAGATAGGAAAACAGGCATGATAACCATTCTGCGAAAATCGATGTTCAAAATCGAAAAAGAAAATAAATTTTATGCAAAAAAAAACGAAACCGTAAGAAAAAATGCTGATATATTTTTAGAGTAGTCGAATCACATAATCATGACACAAGAACTGGTGGGAATGGAGGAGGGAAATAGAGAGAAAGAGCAGTGAGCATGCACTTGCTCGCCGACTACTCAAACATTTGAAAGTTAGAAAAAAATCATGAGGATACTCCAGGTACCAATTGAAAAATGTTAGTGCACATGTGGCTAATAGCGGCGTATATGGTCGGAGAGAGGCCAGATGGTAGTACGAAATGAACGTTGTAGTGGGGCAACGACTCAACATCCATGCCACTGCATACCTGCAAAATTATTGATTAACTTGGTTTTTGAATGATAAAAAAATAACGAAGAAACATCCGTTCTATGTGTGGCGTGGGCGTTCGTCAGCTTCTAACTCACCTCCATCAAATATCCCTTAACACACTTGAACAACATCTCAGCTCGCTTCAGACACCACGCAATTGTTGTGCTCTGAAAAAAGAACAATTTCTCCTTTCTTTTTCTTTCAGTCTCGTTCTCTTTCTTCCGCTAATACTCACCTCATCCGGTCTATCAATCAAAAGAAGAGGAATATGAATTGTGCTTGTGTTATAGCGCGCCGCTATCCTGATGATATTTCGGACACCAGCAAGACATGGATGACGGCTATTGATTTCAACCGACTGCAGTGTTTCGTCCACAACGAGATGGTAGACAATTTGCACTTTATGCAAATTCGAATGCCTGGTGATGTAGACATCGCCAACAGTGCACGTTGGGTCCTGACGAAGTGCACTTGATGGGATTGGCTGTTCTGGAACGGGCTTTCCCTCTGAAATTAATCTTGCACTCTCCTCGTCAATTCGATCAGCACGCCATGTGTTTCTAGTTCGATTCTGAAAATTGGAAGATGATTGGTCTTTCTGAAGCCAAAAACTCTTACAGATACTACGACTTTTTTCAACTGTTCTCCGAGATTATCGAAATGCAATTCTGTAGACTGCTCGAAAATTTTGAAAAAGTCAGATGAGGAATTGATATGATTCATAGGATCGCGAGGTACCAAAAGCGTCGTTCCACTCAAATTTCTGCTGTACAACTTGGTAGCCATTTCCAATCTACTTGATGTTGTCCAATCGCCTTCCAGTGTTTGGCACAAGTCTGTGAGCCGGTCAACAGTCACCAGACAAACATTATGCATAGATTTCAGTTGCGATCCTGTAACTTCGAGGAGAATTAGAAGGAGATTCTACGCCGTGACGAATGTGCAAGTGATATTCTTTTTGTTTACTATAATATGTATTCTTTTTATATTTACACATTCACAGCTGCCGAGTATTCGAGTGAAAACACACACAAAGATAGGCTCTGTGTTAGTTTGATGTGAAAAAAGATAAAAAGCGATCGGGGGATTCCACTCGAGTTTTCTCAGTATCTTTTCTTTCTCTTTGCTTTTGGAACTGCTCGTCTCTGATTACAAAGAAATGGGGAGCAGATGTCAGCTGCTGAGTAGGTTCACGATCGCATGAGATCAAGCGTCGCAGCATGTGTGAAAAAAAGAGGAAGAAGAATAACCCACCGACATAAATCGTGAAACTTTCGTTGACTCCCTCTGCGTGGTCTCCAGATGTTGGTGCGACGGGACGAGGGATCGCTTGATCATCGAGAATAACGTCTTCTAGGAATTCGGCCGGAATGCTACCACGAGCATACAACGAATCGACGGCTGTTCGGTACTTTGATTTTTGGGAGTCGCATAGATCTGCCACTTGGAATGAATACGTTGTGTGGACCTGAATAAACTGAGCTTTCGAGCAATCTGTTTACATTAGCGACTCAGTTATGAAACCGACACAAGACAACAAAAATTACTTACCTGCCTGAGTTTTTCGTTTAGAATACTAATTTTGTGTGGGTGCATATCCGAATCTCCTGTTTCCGCGACAAGCTTCTCGCACTGCTTCGATAACTGCTCGACTTCCCAGTTCCTCGCTCGGATCATATCTGTCATCTGTTTCTTCATAAATACCTCCATTCTCATCAACGTTAGCAAGTTTTCGCTGGAACTTTGCTCGACAACGTAGGTGAACTTTTCCTCGAAAGGAACCGCTGGTTTCCGACGAGGCTCAACGAGTCTTCGGTTACGAGATGGTTGAAACTGAAAACTAGAAACGAGTCGATGAAGAAACATCTAGTGGATCTAACCAAAGGCATACCCAGTTCCCGCTTTTTCTTCACTGCTGCGTCGATGAGAAAAGTGGTACGGCGGTTTTGATATCTGACCGTTTCGTCGTAGATGAATTTTCGAAGAGCTTCTTTGGCATCTGATTAACATTGTCAAGTTGAAACATTAGTTGTATCATTAAACTTCACCTTCGTAATCCAAAAACTTTCCAGATGATTGCGCTTTCAACTTTCCAACCCAATCTTCCAAATAAGTGTATTCGGGAAGCGGAATCGGTACATTTATTCGAACATACTGTAAAAAGAGAACTTCATGAACTGAGTGAACTTGAAAAATCAAACCTTGTCAATACAGTATTCGGGAGCACGGATAACAAACTCGCGTAACGTACTGGAACTGTCATTTGCACTGTCGTCGGTTTTAATTTCGGCCATTCTAGTCGATCCTCAGCATATATTTTTTAGTTATATCAGTATTGAATAGGGGACGGATCGATTCTAAATTCAGTTTGTTTGAAAATTGGGGGATGCTATTTTATAAACTGTGCAAGTTTCCGTCGCAGTGTGGAAATACACCGAAACGCACAAATGCAGATTCAGTAGATTTGCAATGTTTCGAAAATTGGAAACTTTTGGTTCTGACTAAGAAACAAAATTTGAGAAATATTTTCAGTTTTTATTTGGTCTGACACCTTAAATCAATCTAATTATCAAGTTGTTCAAACCATTTTCCGATGCTTAAAGAGAGTATTTGATAGATGGGAAAGATGACCAAATCTTAACTTGAAAATTATTTACTGGAAAACAAATCGTTGAATAGTTTATTGGTCCTCCTCATATTTTGAGAGGACATACATAGCGAATAAGAACAAATAAAATGGAGCTAAATGGAATGCTGATAGGCTATTCACAGATCGTTAATTATGAATATTTACAAAGAGAGCGGAGTAACGGATGGATCAGTTTTTGCTCTTAAAAATAGACATGATGGAATCACGTCTCTTCTTTTGCTTCTTCTCTCCAGCAGCACCACCTCTTCGAACGTTCTCCTCATCTCCCGACGGCGAATTCACATTCGACATTTCGACGGTGTAAGCTGACCGCAAGTGCGGTTTGACGCTTTCGTTTCGACTGGCCAACAATGAGACTCTTTCCTTCGAGGTTCCTGATGGAGTGAATGGGGTCTTGAAATCTTGGTTGGAGCCGATTGTCAACGTGTCTGAGATCATGGATGAACGCGCCGTTGAACTACGGTCGAAGAAGTCCATGGAACATATCGAATCACGTGGATTGCTCTGCAAATCAACATTTCTCTATATAGGTTCTACAGTGAAACACGAATGTATCGAACATTTGAATAGAAAAGTTGCTATTTATCAAGCTATCTCGAAAAACTGCTCAAACTGCCCGAAGCCTCTCATGCATGGACAAAACCTACCTTGAATCCAATTGGAGTTCCCTTTTCAGTCAAATTGAGATCGACACTGAACGCAACTGATTTCCGTGGAGTTTGTTCGACGTTTCTTCTCGATTCTTCCTCAGTCTCTGCAGGCTCTTCCGTCGCCACGAATTCCAGGAGACTGTCGGGCGAAGCGGATCTTCTGGTCGGCGATCGCGGCATATTCTCGAAGAGCTCTGAAAAATTTAACATGACAAACTGTAATGAAACGTTGAAATCTTACTGATCCTCTCCTCCAAAAAGCAGTTCTTTTGTCCGACTTCGGAGCTTTTTGAGGTCAGTTCCTCAACTTGTTGGCATAGCTCTTCGATTTGCTTCTCGCATGCCTTGAGTGCTGATTGCTGTTCCTCCATCTGATTCTGATGTCTAGCAATCAAATTTTGCATGTTTTCCTTCAGTAAGACAATCTCCCTATCCTTATTTACCGATTGCTCTTCCAGTTCAGCCTTGACATTGTGGAATTGGATGGCTGATTGCTCTCGGATCATCAGCTCAGTTTGAAGGATTTCTTTGGACTTTTCGATTTGTCTCTCCAAAACTGCGTTGAACCCTTCTTTACCCTTCAATTCTAATTCCAGTTGCTGGATACGTTTCTTTGCTCCTTCGAGACAAGCTCTTGCAGATAGAAATCCTTCGGCCTGGTCGTGAGTTTCCTTGTCCGTACCGAGCGCTTTCTCATTCAATTCATTGAGCAACGAACTCAATTCATTTTTATCCTTTCTTTCTTCCTCAAGTTCTCTCTGGATCCTTTCGATAGTCGATTTGGACATATTCATTCTTTCCACATGTTCTCGTTGAAGAGTGGATATAGTTTGCTTGAGTCGTTCTCTTTCGTCACCCAACGTAGTCATTGCATTGTCAGCATCCTGCTTGTAGCGACTGGAAGTAAGACTCAGTTCTTCGACGGTTTCCTTCAAGCGGTCATTTTCAGCCTGAAGACTTGTCTTATGCATTTCTAGGTTGCTCAGATGCTCAGTAAGGTATTGGTTCTCGGTTTTGGCGGTTCGAAGCTTGTCGGTGAGTTCTCGTTCTTTTTGGCGATAACTATCAGACTCTTGCTCGTTTGAATCTCGAAGCCTTCTCATCTCCTTCATACACTTTTCAAGATCTTCCGACGCAGTCGCAAACTTTAAAGCGATGGTCTCTTTCTCTGCTTCGGAAACTTCTAGATGACGTTGTTCTAAACGGAGTATTTCTCTACATTTCTCTAGTTGCTGGCGCAAAGTATCCACTTCTTGTTGTTTCGCTTCGAGAGCTGCCGATGTTTCCTGAGCACGGAGTTCCGCGTCTTCCGCGCTCTCTCGTTTTTCAGCGATTTCTCTTTTCAACTCTTCGTTCCTAAAATAACGAAAGCTGTTTCAGTTAAAACGTATGATAACTTACGTCAACTTCAGCTGATTGATCTGCTTCTTTTGCTCTCGATTGTCCAGCTCCAATTCTTCTGCCTGCTGCTCTGCAACGCGAACAGCAATCTTCGCTTGCTTCAGATCTCGTTCGCTTCGCATGAACTTCATGGTTGGCGAATCGACTGCTTCGGCTATAGGACTTCTACGCGCAGTAGATGTGGCTGTACGGAGACGACGAGCTGTTGCTGTGGGTGTGGCGAATGCAGCTGCACTCAAACTGTTCCTAGTTGGTGTTCTCAGCCCATTCAACAACTCAGAATCGTCCGTCGACATGAGACACGACCACCATTCGTCAACTGTATCTTCGGAATATAGATTGTCAAAGTGTGTGAACGTATCCAGAAGTACACTGCTGTTGAATCCAGTTTGTTGCGCTAAGGGCTCCAGTATGTTCGTCAGATGATTCGAGTCGTCTTTGCGTAAGACTTCGAGGATAAGAGCATAAAATTTGCAGATTTCTAGGAGGTTTCCACGAGCTGCTTCTCTGGGATCTAATGCTTCGGCTAGAGATCCATTTCCCATCCTAATTTTTCGGTGAAGAACATCGTAGAACAAGTCCGCCGATCGATCGGCTGATCCAATTGACTTCTTATCGATCCCCCTGAAAGTTAATAGTTAGCTTGCGATGAGTGGACAAGTAAAAGAAACTAAAAACATGAACATTCATTTATGGGTGTGCTTACATCAAGCGATAAACCATGACGTCTTGTTTCTCCCAGAGATCCGAGAGAGAACTGATGGATTCCGTTTCATTTCCGAATTCCGAAGCGAAGCGGTTTGTTAGTCGTAAATAGGCATCGACAATGAGCGGGTCGACGCTCATCCTTACTGAAAAAACTAAAACTAAACAGAATACTTGGTCTCGAATGGTAAAAATCAAATCTTGGGCGACACAAAAAAAAGTGAACGGAAGGCAAATTCAAAACAGGCGCGCGGGAATGCCTGCGTCTCTTCGCACATTTCTCTGGACTCTCTTTTTTCACACAGTTCCTCCTTCTTGTTTGCAAATGGCGCGAATTTGAGATTTGGAAACGATTGGAGAATTGGAGACGAAATGGAGAAGAATTGATTTGGAAAAGAAATGGTTTCATGAACAAAGGGAATCTGATGAATTTGGGAACGTTGCATCTTATGTGTTCTTTCTTTTCTAGAGAAATTCTCTGATTCACTAGTATTGCTTCTAAATAATACTCTGACTACAATATTGTCGAATTAAAAAAAGTGGGACCTGAAAATTTGAAAATCGTAGCTTTTTTTGATCTACGAAAAAGTGCGGCAAAAACGTAACATTTCAGATTTTCGCCTCGTTCGAGCTACTTTCGCAATTAAGTTCGGTTTTTCGATGAAAAACAGATGCTAGAGATGCTAGCGATCATTTTCATACCAAGAAATCTAAATTTTGTCCAGAAAATCCCACTGGATTCACAGAAATAAGTTTCGCTTACTACGGTAGTGATTTTGAGGCAAGGCCTAGAAAATTGACTTTGAAGCCGCCCGCGAAATTTTCCAGGTCCCACTTTTTTTAATTCGACAATAAATAGTGTAAACGGGACAAACTGGGAATGAGAAAGTGAGCTATAAAAATATGTGCTCGTAATACATGTAACGGGTAAAAAGCTCCACAAGCTGGGACAGGGGACAAGAATTAAAGGAACGGTGATAGATAGAGTGTTAGAGAAAAATATATAATTACCCGGGCCCACTGGGGTCCAAGACAACGGGTCAGAAATCGCGCCCCAGTAAACATGAGATCTTAGAAAAAAGAATTCGCTGCTGAATTATTTGGCTGAGGATCAAACTTTTAATGGGGTTATGCACGTAATAAATTTGCAATAAAAATGGCAAATAAAAAATAAATTAATTTATTTGCAATCAAAAAACGAATTAAATTGCATTATCAGCCGTGAAAAACTTTCTCTCCAAGATTTTTCAGGAAATTTTTCTCGAGAAAAAATTTTGAGAGGAAATGTCCACTGCTGATAATGCAGTTTAATTCGTTTTTTGGATGGAAATAAACAAGGCTGTGCAAAAAGGCGGCTGGCCGCGGCTTTTTTGTGAAAGCCGTGAAAAGCCGCGGCTAGCCTCATGAAAACGCGTGAAGTGAAAATCAATTAGTTTTTGAATAATTTCGTTTTTTTGTCCTACTTTTCAAAAAAAAATCTACGTTTCTCATGAAACAATTATTTCAAAAGGCCGTGAAAAGCC